TTCGCTATCAGTTTTGCTACGCGAACAGCATGGATCCTGATCAGACTGCCCGAATGCGCAGGCTGGTGTGGATCCATGCTGGTCGCAAACACATTATGTTGGTTTTGTTGTGAGGCGGCTCATATATGTTTGTTTACACTTAATGAAATGATGTACCTTTTCAAAATGTGTTAGTAAATGATATATAGATAGCATTTCTTGCATAAATCATAACTTTATCAATTTAATACATGTATGTAACGAAAATATAGCTTACGGCAGAATGTACCATTCCAGACATAGTTCTCTATACATGTACAAACTGTACCGTTACATTCAGCATTATCATCTATACACGTTGACAGTGAACTCGTACAAGAGTCGCCAATATTGGTTCCATCTGCAAAATACATTGTAACATTTTTTATCATCTTAATAGAATTGAGACATGGTAAGAAGTATGTATTGGGATAAAATTTTGTCAGACCTTACCAACGAAAACCACAAAAATTTAAGCCCCACAAAAAACAAGAGCCCGGTGATGCTCCCCGAATAGGTTTTGGACACAGGAAAGTACACCTCTTGTAGTTTCAAAGTTATGTCCCTGGAATAAGTTCAAGTGCAATAATTCAAAAATGAGGCAAGGCAGAGTTACTGTTCTTTGCACTGCACTTCTAATCAATGTGATCTATCAACCTACAAAGTTTCTTGTTGATATCTTTTATGGTTTCCAAGTTATGTCCTGGACAACTTCAAAAAATAAAAATAAAAAAAGGGCAATAACTCCAGAATTAGGCAAGGCAGAGTTATGATTCTTGTGCACTGCACATCTACAATTGAGATATATCTACCTACAAGGTTTCATGTTGATATCTCTTATAGTTTTACAGCTATGTCCTAGACAAGATTTTTCTAAAAGGGGAGATAATTCAAAAATGAGGCTTAACAGAGTTATGGTTCTTTTGCACTGCACTTCTACTCAATAAGATCTATCTACCTACAATGTCTCATCTTGATATCTCTTATAGTTTTAGAGTTATGTCCCGAACAAAGTTCAAAGTGTTAAAATTAACAAAGGGCAATAACTCAAAATTAGGACAAAAAGAGTTATTGTTCTTATGCACTGCACATCTACCCATTGAGATCTATTCACCTACAAAGTTTTAAGTTGATATCTGTTATAGTTTTAGAGTTATGTCCAGGACAAGATTTTTCTATAAGGGGAGATAATTCAAAAACCGGGCAAAATAGAGTTATGGTTCTTTAACACTGCACTCCCCCTCAATGCCCTCTACCACTGTATGAAGTTTGAACAAATTATCTCCAAGGGCTTTCAAGTTATGCTCCGGACAAGACAACAGACAGACGGACAAGATGGACAGACGGACAAGGCGCCAACTATTATGCTCCCCCGAATTTTTTCAGGGAGCATAAAAATGATTTTACTGTATGGTTTTAAAGTATGGAGACATTCAAAAAAGTCTACAATGAAATTAAATCTATTTATTTGCAAGGTATAAGGTCACTCGCCAAAATTACAAACATGTTATACAGTTTCAAACTTCGGGTAACACGGTTTTCATTCATAATCCCAATAGCATGAGTAGAATTAAAATTGTGCCCGACTCATAAAGAAACATAAACAGTATTTATCTTTCTAACATAAAAATGATTTGTTTGATTGGGTTTTACCTCACACCGACACAGTAATCAGGTCATATGGCGATGTTCCAACTTTAATAGTGGGGGAAGACCTCTGGTGTATTATTTCAGGCATGAACGGGCACCTTAAGAGAACCGCCGTCAAAAAAAGATGCTGATTTTCTAAATAATCACTCTTTAATCATTTATGGCATCTTTTCATGAAAAATTGGGTCATATTTAGTATAATTGCTTCAATACAAAATAGAATTCTTAGTGATTATCAGATTAGAAGAAATTTCAATGTTCCAATAAATAAATTAAAACCAGCAGATAGAAAGCACTATTCTAAAACTTACAACAATTATTTCCAATCTGAACCTCCCCGGAAGGACATTCACACCTGAATGTGGTGGAACTACATACCAATGACCCTGAACATGCGTTGCTGCTGGGGTCACAGGGGTCACATAAATCTGGCCCACCTGTAAATTAAGATCATCTCAAACAAAAATCATTTATAAAAGCAATTAAACATTAGCATAAAAAAATCTAGTATAATATGATGTAGCATAAACATTAGCATAATAAAATCTAGCATAAGCATTTTTTCAAGGGGTGAAGTGGCATAGTTGCCAAGGGGTTTTCATTTCAACCCAGGGATCATGGGTTCAAGCCCTGCTGAGGTCATGATTAATTGTGTTTTCCACAGCTGTGTAGGCAACTGATTCCAAATCAGCCAAAATATGACTTTTCAACCTTTGATTTTGCCAATTTATGCTTCATTCAGGACTTTTAAACTTAAAAATTTAAATAAAAGGTTCTTCTAATATTTACTGCAAATAGTTCCGTTGAAAGTAAACCCAGGTAAACAGTCACATATTGTCCCATTACATCCAGCATTATCATCTATACACGTGTTCAAACTTGTCGTGCATGAATCGCCAACATGAGTCCCGTCTGAAATTATAATGTTAGTTTTATAACATAGTTCTGTTATGACAGACAAACAATTTGAACATATATCTAATGTCATCAGAACTAAATATAGAAAGTTAGGCACTATAGTGTTATTAAATTATTACAATATTGTTGCCAGCTGATGTTTTAGGGTCCAATCAGGTGCTATTAATGGTTTTGTCAGGATTGAAAACTGGCCGGAATCCCTGTAAGACATTAAGTGTGGTTAAGTTGAAAATGTCATAATTTACTCTTTAAAGATTAAAGAAATATCTTAAAAAAGTTTTGTAAAAGTTTATTTTTCTTATAATTTTCTTTTTGAAATTAAAAAAAAGAAAAGAATAATTTTAGTAGTATTCAACCTACAACACATATCTGCAATCTGCACTTCATCTGCAGGACATTCACATCTGTAAGTGGTATCGCTACAAACAAGATTTGCGCCACACGATGGTGTATTCGGATCGCACTGGTCACACAAATTAGGCCCTCCTGTAATCAAATAACAAGTACTAAATTCACTATAGGGGCGTATTGGCATCTTCCCACCCCAATTATCATATGATACAACTCTTGATTAAAAGAGTGCCCCACATGATTTTGTATTTGGATCTCATTTGATTGAACTAATACTAAGAAGTATAATGTACCTCAGAATAAAAGTGAAAATTCATTTGGTATACAGTATAATTTCTGAAAACCAAACACTTGTAGGACTAAATGTCAAAAAATACAGATTTTATAAGTTTCTGAAATTCAGACGTTTAGGATAATGTTGACAAGACTAAGTCACTAAATGTCAAGGAAAATGTGGAAATAAATGTAATGTTTTACCTTATTGTCTTTATTATCAAGATAATGATGTAAAAAAAATAGAAAACATTTACATTTAACACTTTATTAAATTCAATACTTTATCATAATGGTTCTTATATTATTTCTGGATTTTGGGGGTAAAATTGCACTGATTTGACTCTATCTTTACGAAAATATCAAAGAGTGGCTTTGCAAAGGGTGACTCTGTAGAGATTGCATCGTACAAGGCCAAGGTGAATTTCACATTAGCCAGCTTCATAAAGTTATATATTCGCAGAAATCTTCATAAAATAACTGTTTTATAATATCACAATTTTTTTTTTTATTTCGTTAATATTCAGAGTTGTCCAAATTCCTTTTTCAAGCATATAATTATGGTTTGATTGGTGGGCTGGTTCCTTATATCTTGTAAAAACATCAAAGATTGGTTTCTAATAAAAATTGATAAAAAAAATAATAATGAAAATCAACTATCAATTGTAACTTTAATTATTACATAGTTTGTTCAAATCAATGTCTTCTTACAAGGATCTTACACAGACCAGAATATCTATCTCGAGGGTAACTGTTAACAGCAGTAACGAGGCTAGGTCAAGATTCCCCCAAACAATTTCTTCGAGCTAGATATTCCATTCTGTTACTACAGCTGGTGTTTGATTCTTATTCTTGCATATTACATGTTAAGCTAATATTCTCATTTAGCACTTTTTTCTTATTAGTAGAGTATGAATTTACAACTTCAATCATTAATGGCAAAATGGCTTCATTCTAAGAACGCAATTTATTCGTAAAAGGCCTACGGATATGACCTCATTTAAAGCATGCAACTAAAAAAACAAGTCTTAAAAGGTGTGTGGGGGGGGAGGGTCCATGTTGCTATCTAGAGTTGTGGTCAATGTTACTCAATCTATTTTCCATCAATAATTATTGCAATGTGGTGAAATTGTTAGTCATATAATAACACCTATACATAAATTATGACTTACCACATATTGAACCATTCCAATTATAACCATTAATACATGTACATACAGTGCCATTACATTCCGCATAATCGTCAATACACGTGTTGACAGTATTTGTACATTCCTGGCCAACACGTGTTCCATCTTAATTGAAAATATAGATTTTTTTGTTAAAAAATTTGAAAGACTCATGGTCAGACAAATTTATGTGCAAAACAGGGTGGTTGTAAGGCAGGGTTCTACTGCAATACATTAAGTACTGTTCTGAAAATTCAATGTCTAACAATATGAAATACATGCAGTTTTAATAGATGTATTTTTACATTACACGTTTAATCTAAACTGTCTATCAAGTGGCACTAATAAAAACATCTCCGATAGGGTATATTGAATTGGTGGACAAGTTGCTAGGTGGTTTACATATTGGGTTACCAATATCGCCAACATATGACCCCTGATTAAGATCATATTTGCTGAACCGGTTATATTATGTCCCAGTTGAAATATCAGCTTTCAGGCACTTTATCCTTCTATGATCTTACACCACCGCAACGTTTTATTTTGTTTGTGGGCTGGGAGCTTTTAACAAACAAAATGAATAACACTATTTCAAAGAATAACTATATTTACAGCAGGCATCTCCAATTTGTACAAATCCTGGGGGACATTCACATCTGTAAGTATCTGAACTACATACTAGCGAAGAGTCACATGTAGTAATGGCAGGGTCACAGGGATCACACAGACTGTCTCCAACTACGAAGAAATCAGGTATATTAAGTAAAGTAAATATATATGTCAAGGTTCAGAATTGTTCACTATTTAGGGGAGAAGATGTATAAGCCACCGGATAGCTAAGTCGGTAGAACTGTGAAACAATATTCCAAGGTCCTGGGTTCGAAACAAGGTCATGCTGTTACACTGTTCTATAAATTGTTGATTTAATAACTTTTATATGATACATGTACCTATTAAAGATTTGGTATGCACATACATACATATTATCTTGATAAGCCAATGAGAAAAGTTTTCTAAAATGTTTAGCATCTGAAAAAGGACAAAAACAATAGCATCCAAGTAACTGTAATGTACATGAATATCAAATAAAATTGATTCTTTATTTTTCCTATCTAAATAGATTATGTTCTTTGTTAATGTAAGCTTTAAAGAACTATTGCGACATAATTTTCTCAATTTATCAATTACATGTATCCAAGATCTATAGACCTATACTAAAGCATAAACAAGATATGAACATTAAGGATGTTTTCGGGAGTTTTCATATAGACATATAGGCAAATTTAAAACTGTTTAATAGAATTTCTTTAAACTTGGCATGTTGTTAGATCTGAATATGATAACAGTAACATTTTAAGCAAAAAAAAAATTGGGGTCACCCTTCTCGTTTTTTAGTTATCTGCCCCTGAATCAGACTTATCTATGTATTTGAGGTCATTTCAAGGGCAGATCACATACTTACATGAATTCTTGTTTTTACTTCTGGATTATGTTTTTCTTTTTATTGTTGAGTACAATACATAATAATATGCAATTCCTTACATCGTTTCTGTTATTTTTTTTCAATGAAAATAAAGGTACTTTAAATTCTTAAAAAAAAGGCCATTTTTGCAAAGTTTCTCTATACAGATGGCTAAGGCAAGTCTTGAGACAAGAACCTTTTCAGATTACACAGATAAGCAAGTCTATATTGCCACTGGACTAAAAGACGTTATCAAAATATCAAAATATATGGTCACACAAATAAACATTACCACATGTGGTTCCATTATAGGTAAATCCTTCAATACAGTCACACACGGTACCATTGCATTCAGCATTATCATCAACACAGGTTGGTACACTGGTAGTACATGATTCACCAATATGTGTGCCATCTAAAAATGTAAAATATATTTCTTTTAATTTAATGAAATTTAATAAATAAATCAATCAAAAATAATTATGTGCCTATTCATAACATTTGCAGCAAACTATCTGCACAATTTCTTATACAATGACATTAGTTTGTCTTTCCATTCCTTAATCATTTAATATATTTTTCTTCTTTATAACATTTTATTTTACATTAAGCTGGAGGCATGAAGTTTTAGAAAGGAATGAAATACTGTTCTCAATAATAATTAACTCATACCAAAATATGCACTGACTGAATAGCAAGCGACCAATGCAGACCATGATCAGGCAGCTGGGACGTGCCAGCTGATCTTGCACATGGTCACATGGGTAGAACGGGTAGTATAGATAGAATGGGTATTATATTAAGATAGAACTTTAGATATTACCACTTTACCAGTTTAGGTTAACCAATATTCATTTCATAAGTGCTGAAAAGTGCAATAACTAGGTTAATATGAAAGCCATAGTTATGTAACTTGCCCAAATCATGTACTTTGTATTGATAAGTACGTGCGTAAACTATGAAGCCATTGGTACAGGTAGAACATAAGAAAATTCCAGCTTGCCATTCTAGGTTAACCTTGTACAGATGGATGGACAGACGGTTCAATTGCTAAATGCCTAAAAAAACTTACAACACATGTCGGAGATTTGAACCTCATCTGGAGGACATTCACATTGGTATGTTGTCGAGCTACACACCAAACCATTATTACAGGAAGATACACCCGGATCACATGGGTCACATAAGTTTGGTCCAACTACAGGTATAAAAGAATAAATCTTGGTCTCTGAATTGTTAACTTCTATTTTTTTTATAGTAAATACAGTATAACCTCTGTAGAGTGACCCTCTGAAGAGCAATTACCTCTTTACAACAATCACCTCTTTACAACAACCATGTTATTTCTTCCACAAGTAAAGATTTCCACTATATTCTACCTCTGTAGAGCAAAGGTTTTACTTTAAATCAACCATACATTTTCATTTAGCATTGACCCTGTAGTAACCTTATTTAAAAATAGTTTGTTCTTCTACCAAAGTAAATTCATCTCCAGTTAGATACTACATATAAATGAATATAAAAAAAATATATCCCTGGTATAAAGATAAAAAAATAAAATTTTCACATGAGGTATCAAAAATACATAACTGTGGTCAAATCATACCTGCAATATTACTAGTAGTGAAATTCTTACAAATGCACAAAAATAGCTTACCGCAAATTGTTCCGTTCCATACCCAACCATCAACACAATCACACACTGTTCCATTGCACGCAGCATTATTATCTTTACATGTATCAAGCAGAGATGAACATGATTCGCCAACTTGGGTTCCAACTGTGGATTACAAATAACATTCATGTCTATAACACATGTATAATGGTAGATAATAAATATTTGTTTACAAAATATACCATCATTTAAATACTTGAAATTATTTAAGAGAGATTATCAAGAATTCTATATTTGATAATACCATGTTAATGTACTGTCCGGTAATAAGGTATGTTTCGGAGTTTATCCACTTCGCGTTTGCAAGGGAGGTAAAAAATAATTTCGTCCGGGTTCTTGTCTCCCTAACTTGTAACCGAACAGCATTTAAAATTATCAAAGAAATATAGTTAACAAGTACTAATTAAAAAATTGCAAGACGTTTAAAAAAATGTTCGTATTGAATAGTAGTAATAGATAAAAGTACCACAAGTATCCCCAACAAGCACGTGTGTAGACGGACATTCACATCTGTATGAAGTGGAACTGCAAGTAAAAGCAGATGAACAAGCCGCTGTTGAGTCGTCACATGGATCGCACCATTCTGTCCCAACTGATAAAACAGAAAGTCATTGTCATCAGTGAAAATCGCCAAAAGTGAAAAGTGGCAACTAAGTCAACCTCAACACAATTGGGCTCAACAATTTAGAAATCCTCTGACCACTAAGCATAATACTTCCAAGCAAAAAAAATACAGCGCTAACAAATTTGAAAATTTTTATTTGACCTTTAACCTCTTGTGACTTTGACCTTCATTTTGCGCAAGACAACTCAACATGGAGAACAACTATGGAGAATATTTGCACTCAAGATATATTACAATTCCTCCATGCATGTACAAGTTAAGCTCTGGACACGGGTTTTGCGCTAACCCACAAGTGTGACCCAGACCTTTGAGTGGGGTGAAAACTTGTTTTGCATACTTATTCACATTTATGAAAAGTCTGTTGTAGTAATGGAGCATAGAAATATTCCTTCTGTGATAAATGATAAAAACATATACCATCAACTGGCATCAAGGACTTGGAAAACAGATTAAACATTGTATTATACTAACCACATATAGTGCCGTTAAAGAAATACCCAGGCAAACAGTTGCATATTGTCCCATTACATCCAGCATTATCATCAATACATACATCGTAACTACTTGTACAAGTCTCCCCAATAAGTGTTCCATCTAAAAATAATGAAAATGATATAATTGAAATATTACACTACTAAAATATACCCAAAATTTTTCTAAAAATAATAAAAATTATATAATCAAAACGTTACACTATTTAAATATACCCTATGTTTTGATTTATAGAGTAAGAAAAAAATTCACAATTTCCCAAGTGAAAAGGTTTTTACTGAGTATAGTTTGACCATGATTTTCAATAATTTAGATTTATTTTGACTTTATTAGGGACCTAAAAATAGATTGGCAATAAACTTATATTATAACTTGTGTTCTAACATGTGCCTGTAAAATTGAAATATTCCGTCCTGTAACTCATTATCATCACTGTCTAAACAATGTATGTAAACAAAATTTTTTTTACCGATTCATTCACAAAATCATGCAGACTTATTCACGCAAACTTATAATCACAATCACCATGCAAATTTATAATCGCACATCAATGCATTCAGCGAAAGTGAATACTAATTGATTCATTGGGTTGCTACAATTGTCCCACTAATAAAATGTACTTACAGCAGGCGCCATCTATCTGTACTGTACCAGAGGGACATTCACACCTGTATGTGGTAGAACTGCACTCCAAGGGGTCCTCACAATTTAATACTGATGTATCACAAGGGTCACAAAGCCCAGTTCCAACTTAAAAAGATAAAAAATGTATTTTTTATTATACACTGCAAATTCAACACTGTAGGCTACTTAAATTTTCCAATAAATATGCATGCATGCCATAATGTCTTGGACGTCCAGGACTGTCCTGGAAATTAGGTGACCGTCACAAAGGCATCCCAGAAATGATTTAAGTCACAATGAAAATAAAAATCAGAAATTTTTTCCTTTGCAACAAGAATTAATACATTTTTATGCAATCTAATTGTCAAGTTAATATTAATTATTCAAGAACACTGGAAACAGAATGATATAACCTCATACAGTATAGCAATATACAGGAAATGGTAACACTAATCCTTTGATTGGTAAAAATTTAATATGCAATTTATGAAAAGTTTTTGCTTTATTCAAGAATATTGCATGAAGAGTTTTGATCTTTCAATATACCATTTTTGATTTTTTCAATATCTCATTTTTGATTTTACAATATCTCATTTTTGATCTTTCAATTTATCAATTTTGATCTTTCAATATATCATTATTTTCACACTTTTGATGTGGAACTTGATCAAATTTGACTTAAGAACTGTACATGGTCATGTTAACGTTTATAAAGCTGTATATCTGCTGCCTGTAGTTTGCAAACTATTGTCTAAATTTTGAAAAAGAATAATGCCAAAATACCTGTATGAAAAGAAATAATTGTTTGTATATTTCTTTTTCAGGGTGAATGGTGCATGCACAAGGTGAAAATCATTGCTTAATGATATTTTAAAATAGCAGCATAATATTTTGTTCAGAAAAATTAATTCTGTTTACATACAATACTCAAGTGTGGTAAATAACATACACATCCTATGTGACAACTCCCTCTAGAATTGACCATAAGATTAATATACTTTTACCATTTATAAAGTCTATATAAAATATTTCATCGGATATAGTTTTATATGATGATGTTAGGAATTTTAGTAAAACAAAAGCTAAAATTTAACACCCAACTGTTTCAAGACAAGTCAGACTGCATGGTTTTATGGTGGGTTGATCGCAAAACTGCAGTAACTTATATGATATAAAGAAGGACTTAAAACAGTTTAGCAGTCAACCATTGATTATTATTTATTACTATTATGACTTTGTACAGGTTGACCAGCCTCTCTGGTATGTCAGTATTGCCCCTTATATTCCAACATGCAAAAACTGCAATATCAGTATCACACATATACAAAAATCAAAACCTTTTTCAAATAACATTATTAATTTCATTAGCACTACTAACCACACACAGTGCCATTATGTGAAAATCCTGGAAGACAGTCGCAGATGGTGCCGTTACAACCTGCATTATCTTGTATACATGTGTCCGGTGTCGTGCATGGATCACCAACCATTGTACCATCTGGAGGAAAAAGTACAATATGACTTTGAATAATACAATATATTTTTTATTCCTACAAAGCAGTTGAAGAACAGGACCCTATGATTGGTAATAATATTATATCTCACAGCTGATGCTTTTGAGTAAATTACCATATCGTATGACAGAGAACAAAATTTGAAGTCATATCTCAATGTACTAGTTAAATGTCTAAAGATTGACATACTTAGAATTATTTCTATATTATGCTGCCTTTGCCTTGTTGATCCCTATTCTGTTTTTTTAGTATTATATACTTTTATATACACTGCTGTGCTGTCAATTGATGAAGAAATCTAATTTTTTCCTCTAAAAAGGAAGTTTGCTCTATTATAAATTTGTTATACAGATTCTTGGCAGGTTTAATATGGCCATATATAGACAGTTTGCAATATAACCTTCACCTAGCAGCTCAGGTTATATATGAAAACAACTGTTAATATAGGGCCATATTACCTGTAAATATCTTTTAAACTAATAACATAAATGTCTTCTGAAGGAGGTATTATAATAATTTTTGTTTTATCTTACACATTTTGACTCAGTACTTACAACAATCATTCCCGATCTGTACTTGATCAGGCGGACATGTACATCTGTACGTACTTGAGCTGCAAACTGAACCCGACGCGCATGTTGGATTTGAAGGGTCACAAGGATCACATAAGTTTTCGCCAGCTGAAAAATTATAAATTATCATGACCACATTTTTCATTAATCATACATTACAAGGTGTTTATATTTTCCTTATAAACTAGATGTTATATGGAACTTGGCAAATGTGTGTTTTCCCAGTCAAACTTATTGTTACAGCTTCACAGTGCTATACCTGTTACAATAGATTTGTCAATCTGTTCCGCTTAGTTTCGAAGCTGCATGTAACTGTAAAAGTTTGTTTGTACCTACAGATTAGCTGAGAAAACCCCAAAATATTCTTAATTCAAGAGTAAGTCTATAAGTCCATGATAATTAGGGATGTTTATCCATGTATATTTTCTTGTATTCTTATACATGATAAATTTCAGATAGTTTATCAAATTGTTTCTTTTCCATTACATTCATTCTTGCAAATATTTTTTTTATTATTAAAAAACATATTTATACATTTTCTCATCTATACTGGAAACACATATCCCGGTACTGTAATGTATATTTGTTAATCATCTCAGTATACTCATTCAATAAATTCAGTATTGAACCTACAAACATTCATTATTCTCTATATATCAAACTTACTACATATAGAGCCATTCCAATGATATCCGGCGATACAGTTGCAAATAGTTCCGTTACAGGCAGCGTAATCATCAATACATGTGTCCGTAGATGTTGTACAACTTTCCGTGACAAGTGTTCCATCTGCAAAGAATTCACAATCTTCGTTAGTTAACAAAAAAATGAAAAACAACAATGTCTAATGCTGAAAGTCTTTTACAACACCTTTATGAGGTATGGAAAGCCAGTGATGTAAAATAAAAATTTTCTTTTAAAATTATATTTGTTTATTGCAAGATCTGTTATATTTTTGCAGCTGTCTGGGAGGTTATTATAATGCCAATAGCCCTGAGCAAAATGTGTACTATTTCTTATATCATACCAAACATTTACAACAACAAGAATGGAAAAAGGTCTACAAGAAAAGAAATTTCATTCCTTTAACAACAATTTAAATAAAATGTACTCAACATTTTAAACAGACAGCTATCTATCACTTGCATAGATAAGAAAATGTTTTTGTAGAATCTCTCTTAAGCGGGGTTTAAACTACTGAATTTAGCAGTCTAATAAAGAGAAAACAATGCATGCTATGGTGGTCATAATATTTTTTTTTTTTTTTAAGATCACAGACATCATCCTGGAAACTATATTAACCCTTTCGCTGTCAGAGTGTAAGTAAGTAAGTAAGTAAGTAAAGGCTTTATTTATCGAGGCTACACATTTGGTTTCCCAATCTTCCATGTGGGCCTCTAAGAAAAAACATAATTTACAATATATACAACTACAATATAACAGAAATAATTGCAACAACATTGTAGTACAATGTACATTGAAATTATCAGAACAAGAAATACATGTTAATAATTTACAGTCCATTCATAGCATAAAACATGTCAAAGAAGTACATATCAAATTAAACAAAGTGGGAAATATGTTTTAGTTGGTACATCAAAATGATAAGATTCTAATTTTGTTATAAAAATGATTAATTTAATGATGAAAAATGCCAGGATAGATATGAAGCTTGAAATTCCTGAAACTGTTTTTCGATTTTCTTATGTTAAGAGGGATATTATTCCATAATTTAGGGCCAGAGTATACTAGGGATTTTCTGAAAAATTCTTTTTCTTAGGTCGTGGAACAGCTAGGTCTGAAACTATTTGTAGATCTTAAGTTGCGCTCATGTTTTTGGTAAACAAATTGGAATTTACTTTGCATGTATTGTGGATATGGTAGGTCATTGATAGATTTAAACATTATGATTGCTTTTTTGTATATCATTCTGTCATCAAATCTCATCCAATTTAGTTCTTTAAACAAATCACTGGAGGGTGCATCGAAACTTTTATCTAGAATTATTCTTGCTGCTCTTTTTTGGAATTTTATGATTTCATTGATCAGATCATTGCTGCAATTGCCCCAGATAGTACAGCAATAATCTAGGTGTGGTAAGATGTATGAGTTAAAGAATAGTTTTCTTGCATGTAAGTCTAGGTATTGCTTGATTCTGAGAAGTAGGTATAACTGAGAGTTGCATTTTTTAAGTATCATTTCTATTTGGATTTTCCATTTTAGTTTACTATCGACAAAAACACCTAGTAACTTTTCGGTTTCAGAAAATTGGATCATTTGATCTTGAAGGTGTAAAGGTGGTAAATGAAGCTGTGTATTATTTGATGTAAGGTGCATTGCCTTTGTTTTCTGTGTATTTAAGACCATTGCATTTTGTATGCACCATTTGTTTACATGTTTGAGGTTGGTTTGAAGTTTATCATGTAGTTCTTGTGGTGAATGTCCTGATGCTGTAAGTGTGGTGTCATCTGCAAACATGTCTATTTCTGAGGTCTCTAAATGAAGTGGGAGATCATTGATGTATATAATGAAAAGCAGGGGCCCAAGGACAGATCCTTGGGGAACACCTGATATAACTTCTGCAGATTCTGACAGTTTACCTGATACACTGACTTTCTGTGTTCTGTTTGCAAGATATGATGAAAACCATTTAATTGTATGATAAGAACAATGGTAATAATGCAGTTTCTGAATAAGAATTTTATGGTTTACAAGGTCAAATGCTTTGGTTAGGTCAAGAAAAATTGTGCCAACTAGTTCTCCATTATTTATTGCATTTATCCAATTGTCAACTATGTTTGTTAATGCTGTTTCACAAGAGTGCTTGGTTCTGAATCCTGACTGGGCCTTAAAAATAAACTTATGAGTTTCTAGAAATTGTTTTAGATGATCAGATACATGCTTTTCAAATATTTTAGAAATGAGTGGAAGTACAGATATTGGTCGGTAATTATTTTTATCAGAATTTTGTCCTTTTTTTTAAAAATGGGTGTAACTTTTGATTGTTTTAATTTGGTAGGAAACTTTCCTGTTTGAATACTTAAATTGATAATAGTTGATAAAGGTCTATATATTACAGAAGATGCAGTTTTTAGAAATCTACCACTGATTCCATCGAGCCCAGTGGCCTTTTTGACATCAAGTGAGTCTAATGTTTTTTTTAACATGATCCGGTTCAATTGGTGGTATCACAAATTCTGGAACATCTAAGTTAACTTTACCTTCTAACATTTCTTTTAAAATAGATTCATTTGCTTTATTCAGTGCTGAAATATTTCCTGATTTTTTTAAATACATTTGAAAAGAAAGTATTGAATATTTCTGCAGTTTCTTTTGGGTCAGAGACTGGATTTCCATTGTCATCATTTATATAGTTTGTTTGGAAGTTGTGAGTTTTGCCAGATAGTGCTTTTAGGTTCTTCCATAATTTTTTAGGATTTTTATTCTGTGAATTTATTTCTTGATTAAAGAAGTCTTTTTTTGATTGATGTGATAGTATTTTAACTTGTGATCTCCAGTATTTGAATTCTTCTGTTTTCTTTTCTTTTTTGCATAATCTCTCATATGAATTGCATTGGCTATTTCATCTGTGAACCATTCATTCTGGTTTTTGTGTTTTACTCGTTTTTGTCTATATGGTGCATGTGAATCAAGAACTTTTAAAAATAAGTCATAAAATGTGTCAAGAGCATCATCTGGTTCAGTAAATACATCAATCAATGTCCATGGTTGATTACTTAGATCAGCTAAAAAATGTTCTGCATTAAATTGCTTTAAATATCTATAATTGATAGTAAGATGTAATGGGCCATTTTTAATTTTTTCCTTTGTTTTACGGGTAAAAACAATGGGGAAATGGTCACTTATTGAAAGAATTGGGATCTTAATATCACATATATTTTGAGGCTGATTTGTGTAGAGATGGTCAATGATAGTTGAGGATGTTTGTGTGACTCTAGTAGGTTGTGTTATAAGTTGATTTAAATTGAATGTACTAATTGTATTATTCCATTTTGAATTAATTGAAATAGAGTTAATAAAATTGTAGTTAAAATCGCCAAAGAGAATAATTTCTTTGTTTTCAATGTATAAGGTTTCTAATACTTTTTCAATTTCTTCAATCCATGAATTAAGTGATGAAGGGGGCCTATAGATATATCCTATAATAAAAGGTTTTTGTTTTACAAGCTTCATTTCTATCCATATTGCTTCAATATCACTGGAATTAAGGTCTGTTCTAATTGCACAATGTAAGAGTGTTATTGTATTATTGATCACCATTTTGCCAGAGGGTTTTCTAAGAAATTACTATATTATTATTATTATTTCTTATTACTATTATAATAATTATATATGTTTCCAAATACGCTAGTATAATAATAATTATTGTCGATGGTATAATTTTCTTTATATTTATTATTATTTTTATTATAATTATTAATTTATTATTATTATTACAATTATTATAGAAACGGCAAAAGCTGTCCATATTGCAGTGAAAGGGTAAGTCTAAGGAGGTTGTTATTTACATAAGTAAATAAGGCACATTCTATGTAATGTTTTGTTTATTTTTTTTTTGTTTTTATATGCTGACTTTGACAAATTTTGGGTCAATCGAGCTGGTTTCGTCACATTCCTGGATAACTAACCAGTAATTACCAATTTCTCTGGAAGAGACTGACTATAAAAATAACTGCACATGACTTCTGAGACTTAAAAGTTAATAAGTTCCCCTGTCATGGAGAATTTTTGAACCAACGAACCTTGGATATCAAATCCAATGATTTCTCTATTGATCAGGAGAATGTAAAATATCAAATGTAAAATATCTTAAATTGATACATAAAGAAAACAGTGCGATACTTACAGCAATTATTTCCAATCTGTACTAGATTTGAAGGGCATTCACAGACCTCTGTTGTAGAACCACAAACTAACGGCGCTGCACAGGTTGATGCCGACGGGTCACATGGGTCACATAAATCGGTCCCAACTGAGAAATAAGGTAAATATCAGCTAGGGTAATACTACGTAAAGATATGTACAATACAATGTTTCTGGTTTATATAATTTTATTTCAAAACTACTAATGTTTACATACAAAACAAAGTGACTTTCTCATATATCAGGCATCAATTAATGTCACATATATATGATCACTATTCCGTACCTGTTACGTAGCTTTAAACATTATAAAATTGTTAAATTTGTTCACAAGCTGTACTCTACAAAAAGTAGAAAGCAAAAGGTTAAGTTTTTTAATAGTTGCATGTAAAATGCAAGTTAATAAAATAATAGGTTACCACATGTAGTTCCATTCCAGGAATAGCCATCGTTACAGTCACACACTGTACCATTGCACCCAGCATTATCGTCAATGCAAGTATCAAGACTGGTTGTACAACCTTCTGTTACACGTGTACCATCTGCATTTCAAAACAAAAATAACTATATCCTTAGCTAATTTTTCGTAGAAGGATAAAATAATCAGTTACAATAACACTTCTTACAATTTTCAAGAGTCACAAGTTTTCTTTCAACAGTTTTTATATTCATACAGTAAATATATAGACATACATGTACATGTATCAGAAATAAAAATCGCTGACTTGAATGGCATAGCTTGCGGCCTCCTTCAGCAGCATTTATCATACATACAAATATATTCAGAGAAAAAAAGGGAAGTGATTTATGTCATTGAGCAATGTCAACAGTGGTATTGTGTGTCGTCTGCTGCATCATTCTTTAGTGTTTATTACATATGGCAAATTAGAGATTTTATTTACATATCAGAAATTCACATCAGATATTGATGATGTAGTACACTCAATTTATAACTATGTCTCTTATAATGAAGCTACATTTATATTTCCACAATTCTGACTCAGACTTTTTTATTTCATAAGTTTACACTCCACTTGAATGTAAAGATATTAGATATTGTGGTATTTGCATTATTTTAGACTTAGCAATGTGTTTTTCCTGCCTGTTGTGCAATTTTTCTCCTTTAAAACCTTCAAAGTTGTTAATAAGCAGTCTATTCGGCTTTTAGCATTAATGACTGTCCCTCTAATAACATAAATTTGGCAGACATCTGATTGCCATTATAAGTGGAGTTTACTTCATATTAATATAAAAATACAGTACAGCTCAAGCAATTTTTGCACTTTCGACTTTGTCATTGTGGATACTTTGAACGGTGGGCAGAAAATTGCGACCGACATACTATTGTCTGTTGGAAATTAATATAATTATATATACATACAGCAAATATCAGAGTTCTGAACAAAGCCATCTGGACATTCACATCTGTATGTGCATGTGCTACATTGAAGGTCGGAGTCACACGTAGATGATGCAGGGTCGCACGGATCACATAGATTGGAGCCCACTTTTGCAAAAGAAAAAGAACACAAATTAAAAATTCATTTTCAAAGAAGATTTAGAATTTATTACCAATTGGATTTTGAATGATCAATAAAAAGAATATCTGGAAAAAAAGTGCTAAAACAAACATGATCATGATGTGTTTATGTGTCAAACTGTCTTAAACTTACATGTAGTAGTGTAAGTTACATAATTTATCACATTTGTTATTGCAAAATTTGTGATTGAAAATGTGCATTATTATTACACTGCATTAATCATTTTTCTTAAATGTCTATATACCTTACATATTTTTTTCTTATGTATGTATAAAATAACTATAAATGACTCAATATAACAGAGGTGCCTAACATTCAACTGTTTTGTCAGTCTACAGATGTGACAGTGCCACAAACAGACAAGGGCAAATCTATATGCCACCAACCCCCTGTGAAATTATTAAATAGAGAAAATAAGAATCCCTAAAGAAAGTTCAAAATGGCAAAATTGAAATGTCGCAGGCTCAGTTTGATTGGGCCTGTTCATGGATGGTACTGTCAAGTGCAAACTACCGTCCACGCCCCCCTAGCACTGGCTTAAGCAGAATTCAACATTTAAAAATGAAATTTGTTAAATTTTTAATTGAGAATCATCCGCAGATGTGTTCATACAGTGGTTTTCATAAAACCTTCAATGTGACACTTCTGTGCCATTCCATGAAAAGCTGCATATGGTTTCCAAGTAATAGAAAGCGTGTTCCCTAAAAACTTACCGCATCTGGTGCCATTCCATGAATATCCTGCCATACAGTTGCACACAGTGCCATTACATACAGCATAGTCATCTATACACGTGTCAGTATTAGTGGTACAATCATCACCAACATGTGTTCCATCTAAAAATAGAAATTCATTTAAAATTGACCTTTTATCTTTACTTCACATAAAAGGATTTTTTTACAAGTTACTTTGATCTCATTTAAAATTTTGAATTTTTGTGGCCATGAAATTTCATGGCTTTGTCATTAAGAACATTTTTGTGGGATCTTTAATTTGTGGTCTGTCTATTTTCACAAAAGGTAAAATGTAATAAATAATGTGATGCGAAATTATCTTATAACAGACAAAATGAAATTTCATTGGATTTTAAAATTCTGATTGACCTATCAATGTCAAAGCCAAAAAAATGAGCACCCCAAGAATAACAATGATTTTGCAGTATATGATCTTTGTATAAATGGTTGCTATATAACCCAAAGGCTTTGGTTATACAAGATTATAACTGTTTATAGTGGGTTATATAACCTATCAAAAAAATTCTAAAACTAATAAGAATGAATAACTGAAAATCAATAGATATTACGATATAAATCAACTGAATATAAAACAGTTCTTACAACAATCGTCCCCTATCTGGACCTCGTCGGACGGACACTCACATCTGTATGTGTCGGAACTACATTGTAAGTCACCACTACAGCTTATTACTGAAGAATCACATTGGTCACATAACTGTGTCCCCACTGAAGAAAAATATATGTGGATTTATAATTAGGTAGATGATTTACAAAACTTTGAATTTCTCGTACTTCTATCAATATTTTATGTTTAAATTTCATTCTTTGCACAGTTTTTGACAAGAAAATTGTGGAATGGAGATAATTACAAAAACCAAAATAACAAAAATATTTCAAAAACTAGAACTGTGTTCATAGAGGATTCCACTGTCCCATCACTCTAAAGACAAAAGGCATGTCAGTGGGACAGCCTGACATTAGCCAGACAAATGGACAAATGAAAATCTGCGCAACCATCCTATGCACCCCCAACTCCCCATATAGTTAAAGATACTTTAATATTGGAAATTCAATTCTTATGACTCCTTACCACATATTGTTCCATTGAAGTAAAATCCGGCCACACAGTTGCAGATTGTACCATTACACGCAGCATTATCATCTATACATGTATCGAGCAAGGTCGTACAACTCTCTCCAATATTTCTCCCATCTTGAAAATAAAACACCATCTTATATCATTGTTACATACAATATCATAATTTTGTGAGAGGGAAACACAAAAAACAATTGTCCATCATGTTTTTGTTTCTTCAGATAAAAGTGACCGTATTTCAAGAAAAAGGCTTAAATTCAGGTACATGTATATAATTAATCTGTTAAATATATTTAAACATGTATTCAAAGCAACAACAATGCTTAAGAGCAGAAGTTGGTAATTCTGAGTATCATAGACAAGAACTGATATACACTGACACCACCTTCATTCAGTGAAATTAATATATTTTATTATATAAAGGGCAAAATATAAATACTGTAAATTGCTTATTTATTAAAATTTAAAATCTAAGGAAAGAAAACAGCACATCAACGCAAGTTCCATTTATGGAACCACTCACTGATTCGAATCTACACTGAACTAAGATAAGTTTCTAAAGTTTTGGAAGTAAATACTTACAGCACGCTGATTGGTACTGTACAAAACCTGGTGGACATTCACATCTGTCGTTAGTTGAACTACAAACCAGTGGGCTGACACATGTTGAATCAGATGGGTCACATGGCTCACACAACTGTTCTCCAACTGTAAAAATATACATTTTTTTGAGGCCCCATTGTAACTGAGTAACCCCATTTATTCACCTCCATAATAGGTATGAAAAGGTCTGGGTCATCAAAATATACATGGATAAAATAATCTTAACTCTGACATCTAGGCTCAATACCACCTGTAAAACTAATAATAATCATGTATTTCTGTCTTGTCTAGTTACGTGGGCAAAATAATTCTAACATTCTGTACAAGATAAACATAATGCTGTTAAGTTTGTGTTTAATTGTGATCCTTTTTTACTCCATTACTAAAATGATATAAAAAATCAAGTAACGGAATATGTAGAAACAAAATAATATTCTATGACTACAATAACTTACCGCATAATGAACCATTCCAATAGAACCCTTCTATACAGTTACAAATAGTACCGTTACAGACAGCATAATCATCTGTGCATGTGTCTGTTGTTGTTGTGCATGATTCTGTGACATGGGTTCCGTCTGGTCAAAGAATATACAGTAATACAGAAAATAATCATAAACCATCTTGTAACAATTTAAACTGCAGTCTAGTAAAATGACCAGGGCATAGCTTTCTGCGATCTATTTTTAAATGCAAATACAATTTTTCTAACTGCGTCTGCTTCAAAGAAATTAGTTTGGTAATTGATCACAAAATATTTTTTTATCATTTAACCACTACCATTGTAAATAGGCTTATCCATCGTTCAATCTAGCGTAAAAACCTCCATCAATTCTTTGGGAAAAGTTTCCAAATAAGTACAGTCTGAATAGGGAACAGTGCAGACCAAGGTCAGATCCTGAGACAGTTTAAGGGTAATTAATATGAGAATGATTTGTCAAAAACAAACAAATTATGAAATTTCAACAAAGTCTTGTATAAAAAGTCATTGATAATGTATGAAAGAACTTACAACACACATCCGAGATTTGAACTTCATTTGTTAAACATTCACATCGGTATGTGGTTGGGCTACATCTTAAATCTGATCTGCACGTTGGAGCTGAAGGATCACAGGGGTCACAGAGATTCTCCCCATCTGAAAAATGATAGTTGTAAATGACAAAAATGACATTTGTAATGTAACGTGAATGCTTAGTCATAAATAATTTTTGCCATCTAGGTAACAGTATTAAGTCATTTTCTATGTCATGTACATATAGATATAATTATATTACATTATTTTAAAAAAAAAAAACTTCAGGTATGGAATATAAATATTTACATCAAAGTTTTAAACAAAGATGACAGACTTTATCTTGGACTTACAAATTATGAGACTAAAATTGATCAAGAAATCTCATTTCTATAGTCAAATAAAAAAATTAGAATCCGTTTATTGAACACGTAAAGTCTTCAGACCAATTATAACCCTGACCCTATGTATGTAAGGAATAAATGGAATTGCTCCACTTAGTCATAAATGTTTTAATGAAATTGCACCATTGTCAAAACAAACAATCTAAATAATGTCTAAGCAAGTCAAAATGTAGATTAAATACTCCATCATATTATATAAGCACTACTACATTTCAAATTGAACTCAACACCTACTGCAGCGAGTGCCGTTCCAATAATAGCCATCTTTGCAATCACAGACAGTGCCATTACATTCAGCAAAACAGTCAACACAAGTGTTTAGAGTTGTGGTGCATGCCTCAGTAACACGAGTCCCATCTGAAAATAGGAAAACAAATGGTACTTTATCTTTTGTGAAGTTTAAAGTTTGAAGGTTATTCGGGTGGCTGAGTGGTTAACACGCCAGACTAGTAATCTTAGGATCGCTGACCACGTGGGTTCAAACCCTGTAAGGGGCAAGCCATTGTTTCCCTGAGCAAGAAACTTTACATTCATTGCTTAGTACTGGTTGGTTAAAGGAACGGATTCAAGAGTGTTTCAATAGATTAAAGCTTCAAACACAATCAAGCTAAAATAAAAAATGTATAAACTAAACTAGTCAATACTGGTGTCACATGACCCATGCAAGGCTCAAACCATGAGTTTGAATTGAGAGGCAGACAACTACACCAGCAAGCCATCTCCCCTTCTTTATATATCAATTGACTATTTCTACTTCATTGTATTAGTAACACTACACCCTGTGGGTACAGCATCCTTGCTGATATGGCCGTAATCTGAATATGAGCCGCGTCATGAGAAAACCAACATAATGTGTTTGCGACCAGCATGGATCCAGACCAGAATGTGCATCTGCGCAGTCTGATCATCAGGATCCATGCTGTTCGCTTACAAACCCTATAACAAGTAGAGAAACTGATAGCGAATAGCATGGATCCTGATCAGACTGCATTGATGAGCAGGCTGGTCTGGATCCTTGCTGGTCTCCAACGCATTACGTTGGTTTTGTCATGACGCGGCTCATATGTGCTAATTTGCATATCTAGTGTCACCTATAAATGTGACAGATTGAACTTAATGTTATTGTCTTTGATCATTGACTTTAACTTTGATTGATATGTTTTCTTTTGAAGTAAAGATTTAACAGTTTATACCAGTAAAATAAGTTAATGAAAGTTAGGGGATTTCATTGTTATAAATTTACAAAAATATTAAGTACCATGGTACCCAAGGGCAAGACCATATTTCATTAACTTAGCAAAAAATAATGGGGAAAAAACAACACGTACAGCATTTGTCCCCTATCTGCACTTCATCATCGGGACATTCACATCTTGACGAGGAACCACAAACAAAATTTGGTGCACATGTAGAATCTGAACTGTCACAGGGGTCACAAAGGTCACTTCCAACTGAAAATATAAAAAAAAAGATGCATAGCAATATTTTTTATAAATATGTTCACATTAAATTAAATTTGTAATAAATATGCATTGGTCAATACATGCACAAGCCTTCCAGAGCCAAACCCTTTGTTGCTAAGACTGGTTGTTCTACAGCAATTAAATTTATAGTTTATTCTCACTTAGAGAAGAATTGATACTGTTGTTGTAAAGAGATAGATGGTTTATAGAGGGCTGTTCGACACAGGTTGCATTGTATTGCTATAAGTGTTAAGGCTTATAACACAGACATATCGTAAATGGAACATGTCATCTTAGTGCAGTAATAGGTTAAGTCTTTCTTAATTTAATAGGAGTTAACCAGTTATTGCACTAAGGTGACAATAAAAACTTTTCCAGATTTTCAATTTTGTCTTCATAAATTGAAGATTTTTACACATAAACAAACAAATACATGCAAAATATTCAAACAAATATTGTCTATCTATATGATTATATCTTACCACATATTGAACCATTCCATGTAGTTCCTGCCATACAGTCACATATTGTACCATTACACAGCGCATAATCATCAATACACGTGTTGACAACATTAGTACACCTGTCCCCAACATGTGTCCCATCTATATGCACATAAAATAAAATATATCAAATTCTCTACATAAATATGGTAAAACAATTAAAAAGTAAACATTTTCAACATAAACATGACGGTACATATGGAATGAAATACAAAAAAAATGAACAACGTATTAGGAACTAATGACACCAATAGGAGGTCACCTTCTCATGACCTTTCAAACAGCCAATCATAGGTGACTGCATTCACAATTTTAACAGCCTTGCAGTTTCTAATTGTAACCGCTGAAAAAAACCAATACTGGGTAGGTAGTTTTCATTCAATGATTTTTGGTGACAATGATTTCTTGTTATCAATGATTTTCTTGTTATCAATGATTTCTTGTTATCAATGATTTTCTTATAATCAATGATTTTCTTGTTATCAATGATTAATTGTTATCAATGATTTCTTGTTATCAAAGATTTTCTTGTTATCAATGATTTCTTGTTATCAATGATTTTCTTGTTTATCAATGGTTTCTTGTTATCAATGATTTCTTGTTATCACTGATGTTTTTGTTATCAATGAGGTTCCTGTTATCAAAGATTTCTTGTTATCAATGATTTTCTTGTTATCAATGATTTTCTTGAAATCAATGATTTTCTTGAAATCAATGATTTTGTTACTACTGATTTTCTTGTTATCAATGATTTTCTTGTTATCAATGATTTCTTGTTATCAAGACTTTGTTATAATTGATTTTCTTGTGATCAATGATTTTCTTGGTATCAATGATTTTCTTGTTACCAATGACTTTGTTATAATTGATTTTCTTGTTATCAATGATTATCATGACAAAATACTACACTTACAACAATCATCACCAATCTGCACTTCATCAGTCGGACATTCACATCTGTATGTGTTTGCATTGCAGACGAGACTGGAATCACACGTAGAGGACATCGGATCACATGAGTCACATAGCAACTGGCCATCTGAAAAATTTGAATGTGAATAAGCTAAAAATATTTGCCTGAATGATAAAATGATTAAAACATCTATCGTTTGTATGTTCTGTGACTGCAGCATTTTTTCAATCTTGTGGGGTCTAGTGAGCTGGAGAGGGTCTGTGAAATTGGGATATATTTTTTTCATTTTAGTCCTAATAGGGACACTACTAATTTCTTGAAGCAAACTAGAACTCCGCGAGTCGGATGTGTCGCCTTGTGAACAATATAGTTTAGGAGAAATGGCCAGGACAAAAATGAAATACGAAAACTAACAAAGGGCAATAACTCAAAAAATGATAAGTGCAGAGCAGCAGTTTCTATGCACTGCACTCCTTATCAATAAAATCTATCATTCTATGAAGTTTCAAGTCCATATATTTTATAATTTATGAGAAATGGCCTGGACAAAAATAAAGTATGAAAATATATAAAGAGTAAAAACTCAAAAATAAGAAATGAGTACCGGTCCTTGTACACTGCAATTTTTTTTAATGAGATTTATCATCCTATGAAGTTTCATGTGTATAGCTTTCATACTTGAGGAAAAATGACCTGGACAAAAATAAAGTATGAAAATTAACAAAGGGCAATAACTCAAAAAATAAGAAATGCAGAGTACTGGTTCTTGGGCACTGCACTTCTTCTTAATGAGATCTATCATCCTATGAAGTTTCAAGTCCATAGCTTTTATACTTTTGGAGAAATGGCCCGGACAAAAATAAAGTATGAAAATTAACAAAGGGCAATAACTCAAAAAATAAGAAATGCAGAGTACTTGTTCTTGTGCACTGCACTTCTTCTTAATGAGATCTATCATCCTATGAAGTTTCAAGTCCATAGCTTTTATACATTAGTAGAAATGGCCCGGACAAAAATAAAGTATGAAAATTAACAAAGGGAAATAACTCAAAAATTAGGAAGTGCAGAGTTCCGATTCTTGTGCACTGCACTTCTTCTTAATGAGATCTATCATCCTATGAAGTTTCAAGTCCATAGCTTTTATACATTAGTAGAAATGGCCGGACAAAAATAAAGTATGAAAATTAACAAAGGGAAATAACTAAAAAATTAGGGAGTGCAGAGTACCGATTCTTGTGCACTGCACTTCTTCTTAATGAGATCTATCATTGTATGAAGTTTGAAGTCCATAGCTTTTATAGTTGAAGAGAAATGGTCCGGACAAAATTAAAGTATGAAAATTTACAAAGGGCAATAACTGAAAAATTAAGAAGTGCAGAGTACTTGTTCTTGTGCACTGCACTTCGTGTTATTGGAAGAAGCATGCATACCAAGTTTGAAGTCAATCCAACTTAAAGTGACTGAGTTATGCTCCGGACAAGCTTTAGGCGACGCCGACAACGACGCCGCCGACGACAAAAGTAATCCCTATATGTCACCTTTTCAAGGCGACACAAAAACTAATCTGCATTGCTTCAGAAATCACCAATTTTTAAATGGTTTCTTCAGAGGAAGGAATAATTTTGTGGGCTGGCATAAGCATAGGGAAGATTCCCAACAACCTCAGATTGACAGAACTGATACATTCCAGTGACTAGATGTAAAACTGTTAAGCTGATAAGCTAGCCACATATATGAAACTTGGATAATAGAATACAATTACATGTTGTCCTTTCTTTTTACGACAGAAAAACGTAAAAGACCCATTATGCCTCAGAAATGCCTTTAGTTTTATTTCTCAAAAACTTTTTAATTTTGGTGTACTTTTACAGCATACAAAAAGTTACTCATTGGCCGATTAACCAGAACCATCTCTTTCATCTGTTGCTTTTTAGAAAACAAGTACAGTTATGGTAAATTGGTATTTTGTATGGAAGTCAAAATACTACTTTGTTTACATTTTGCTACTTTTGTGACAAATTATTTCACATTTATGCTACTTTCTTCAGGTAACAAGCATCTAACATTCTCTACAACCATTATTTTAACATTATAAAATTCATGTTTGAATTTGAAGTAAAAATTTATTTGTTTCTGAAGCATAATGTGCCTTTAATACATTGTAATATATTGATCATGTCAGAAAATGTCAAGAATATTACGGCATCTGGTGCCATTCCATGAGTAACAACTGATACAATCGCACACTGTGCCATTACACGCAGCATGATCATCAATACATGTGTCCGGAGAAGTTGTGCAGTCGTCACCCACGTGTGTTCCATCTGAAATATTGACCATATCTTGTAATGATATAAATGCAGACTGTTACTAAAACAATACATTAAAGACCCTGTATGTTGTAATTAAGGTTGTTACCACACTTTAGTGAAATTTTATATATGTATAAAATTATCCTTATCAAACAATTAAAAAAAATCCAAGAATATTTAAATTATATACTGCAAATATTTGTCCACATAATATGTAATCATTAAAACATTTCTTATTAATAAATTTAGTTAGACTTTAAAGAAAATATATTTCTAATTACCTCCCTTTATTAACATGAAATGTGAATTTGGTAATAATTATCTTTACAAATAATGCTTTTTGGAACTTAAAATATTGACAAATCTTCATTTGTGTACTATGTTTATGATATAAAACCATAAAAGATTGAGTTACAGGATTTTAAAACCTCTGCAGAGCAACTCTCTTAAACAGTCAAAGATTCTGGCTGTTCTTGAGAGGTGTTACTTTTGAAGAGGTAAAACATACTGTGAATTATTACTTTAGCAATACATGATACTGGTTGTTGTAAAGAGGTAATTGCTCTACAGAGGGGTTGTTGTACACAGGTTGCACTGTAGTTGACAAAACATAACTACCCGTAAATGTACATTTAGTTTATGTTTTTGCAAAGACTGTTCACCATTCTTATATAATTTATGTTTTAATACTACTATATAAACATAATTAGGTTCATATTAAAAAAAAAACTTAGAAAAAAGATGGAAAAACATGTATCAAAATTATATGTTATGTACGTCATAAATCAAAAATGTCTTAAACAAACTCAAAATCAAAATTTCATATAAATTTTTGGAGAGGAAAAAAATACAATAGTAATAAGATTTACAGCAATTGTCTCCGACTTGAACTTCATCGTCTGGACATTCACATCTGTAGGTGTCAGAGCTACATACAAGATCGGACCTACACGTAGATGCCAAAGGATCACAAGGGTCGCAAAGGTTAGTCCCAACTAAAAAAATACATATACAAGAAAATTATTTTACTTTTTACTTTAAAAGTTTTACAATGGCTGTAATGGTCTGTCCTGACAAAAATATGTTAACAAAAATCTACATTAAGGTCATAAGACCTAACAGTAGTCCCAACACTATAAAGCTTATAATGATAAGAAAACTGCCAGTCTGATCAGGATCCATGCTGTTCGCTTACCAACTCTTTTACAAGTACAGAAACTGATAGCGAACAGCATGGATCCTGATCAGACTGCGTGGATGCGCAGGCTGGTCTGGATCCGTGCTGGTCACAAACGCATTACGTTGGTTTTGTCGTGATGCGGCTCATACTATAACAGTACATGTATATACTTACGACAAAATGTTCCGTTATATTCATAACCATCTTGACAGTCACAAACTGTCCCATTACATTCAGCAAAGTCGTCAATACACGTGTCCAGACTGGTAGTGCAGGTTTCACCAATCAGTGTTCCATCTTTAAAACAAAGATTGAGTTTCGTTTGTAGTCATAAAAATCATCTTTTTACAATGATAATATTTCCGATTTCAGTCAAGCACTATAGTCTTGAGTATCTCAAATTTTTTTAAGACCTAGATATCTTACATTATGCATTCAAAGATAAATTTATCAAAAATTACGCAACCTTTCATATCAAAATGATACTTCCACACCAGTAAACAAACATCTTTTCTTTGCATAAGATATTTTTTTAAACAATAATTTACAACAAAAAAAAGTTACAAATTTAAAACTTACAGCACTGGTCTCCAATTTGCACTAGATTAGATGGGCATGCACATTTGGACGTGTTTACGTTACAAACAAGCACTCCTGAGCACGGATTTTCAGGACTGCATGGGTCATTGATAATTGAACCAGCTGTAAGATAAGATAAACATATATGAACATAAGCATCATTTGCTACCATTTTTGATTAAATCATGTAAATTATGTGTGAAAAGGGAAAATGGAAAAACAATGGAATACAGTGTATGATAACAGAAAAAAAAAATTTCTCTTAACAAATATTGAAAATATTTTACCCCAGTGAGAAATTTTTCATATCTTCACTTCACGCTTGAAAATGTTTAAGGATTCTCACTTGTGAGTAATGAGCTAATCACATATTCCATAGAAATAGGTACAATATTTTTGAGAACAAACATACACAGTGTCTTTTAAATATCATAACACAGGACAATTAAAGCAGCGAGCATGGATCAAGAGGGGGGAAAGTGTAAGGGGATCATGTCTTCATATGTAATTTGGCTAGTATATGGAATCCCTTTATGATTTAGATTTAACTTATGTTGGTTTTTTTGGCATAATGTACGCAAAAGCTAGTGAAAATCAGAAATATTTTTACTCATCATCTATAAAAAAACATAGTAAAATGCCAACTCCCCTTTGTTATATGTATTGTCCCTTAAAAATAAGTCAAAAATTTGCAACCCCAACACCGTCTGGTGAAAATATCCTGGACCTGTGTATGAGCTGGTTGACAAACAAATATATACCACAAAGTAGTCCTGTCCAGGTGAAACCATCCACACAGTCACATATTGTGTCATTACACTCAGCGTTATCATCAATACACGTGTCAGTTTCTGTAACACACTCTTCTCCAACACGTGTTCCAACTAAAATTCATAAGGATTGTCTATAATATTGTTTGTTAATCAGCGGAAACCTTTTAACACTTAACCGGCTTGATCAAGCCGGTGGTAAAATAAATTCATTTGCGTCAATATAATCAACAAGTGCGTAAAATGAAATCACTTTAACACAAAATTAATACTGTTCACAATGAAGGTTAAAAAACTTTCAGTAACTAAAGTTTTAAAGCTTTTTTTGCTGGAAATCATTCACAATTTTCATATTAAACTTTTAAATTGGTTGTCGCAATTTTGTCTTCAATACAGGAAGTCCTATAGGACAAGCTTTCTTACGGGTTTTAATCATCCCATTAAATTGTAAGGCAACCAATGATATAGCTGTCTTTGACACATCTTTTATCAACTGGATATTGGCCAAAAATCCCACGGCTGATAAATGTGAATGGTTAAGCCGAGGGTATCTGATGATGGACCTGGTTGTGCTTAGCCTTTGCCACCAGTTTAGAGTCAGGCCATATCTATACAGCAAACTGACTACGCTCTATACTGTTGGTAGCTCGATATTTGTATATTGATATTGAAATCCCTTAATTTTCAAATTTGAAGTGGCAAAACCATAACAAAAATTCAGCATTAACATGGCAAGACCATGACAAAAATTCAGCTAAAATGACTAAATGACTTTGAAGCTTTTGGTGTGGCAAGGGTAACTATAGACAAAACACACAACACTGTTTTGGGTCACTATGTCTAGAAGAATGGTAAGTCATATTATTTCATGAAGGATAATAAGTGCATATGAGCCGCGTCACAACAAAACCAACATAATGGGTTTGAGACCAGCATGGATCCAGACAAGCCTGCGCATCCGTGCAGTCTGATCAGGATCCATGCTGTTCGCTTACAAACCCTATTACAAGTAGAGAAACTGATACCAAACAACATGGATCCTGATCAGACTGCGCAGATGCGCAGACTGGTCTGGATCCATGCTGGTCGCAAACCCATTATGTTGGTTTTGTCGTGACGCGGCTCATATATTAAGAAACAAATTATCTCCATTTAGAAACTAGAAAATGTGTCTATAGTAGATGGATGCCACCACATTCCACTTTTTTTTTCAGTCAGGACAGGGTGACCGTGTGAGGGATGGAAAAAAAAACCAAATCTATATGTCTCACCTTACAACTAAGTTGGGGCATGACAACAGCTGAGCTGTTTAACATTTAATGTGTAAAAACATCATAACATGGGATGTTGGTTCTGAAATTCTCATCAGAATGACGTTCAGTAAATTCATGTATTTTATTAAGAACGGGTGATCAAACTAAATTCAAATGATAGACTCAACGAATGATAGAGTACTTGTAACACCTACCACATTGGTCACCGACTTGCACCAGATTGGAGGGACATTCACATCTGTAGGTGTCACTGCTACAGACAAGATTTGAGGCACACGTCTCCGTGTCTGGGTCACATGGTTCACACAACTCCATGCCCACTGAAACAAAAAATACCTATCTTTACATTTCTCCACAGACTTGAGTTCTTAGAAATGAACACAATCAACATGATTACTAATACTGAATATTTGTATCATCACTATTCATAGGATAATCATGACATTTATCTCATCTAAATACTCTGTCAAGTAATGAGGTAATTTTTATATATTTTTCATGTAAAGGAACTTATTGAAAATTGCCAAAAAGGGCAAAAAATACCCTTTGCTGAAAGGGTATTTTTTGTCCTTTTTGGTGGTTTTCAAGAATTGATAACTCAAACCTAAGCCAATATACATCTAATTTGATTTCAAATTTTTGTTTGTCACTTTATTTTCTGAAAAGGTGCAAAAGTTGCTGAAATATTTGTAACAGATTTTTTTTCCCACAGTTGCTTATGCCTAGCATTTCAGTCATTATTGCTAAAGTTAAAGGAGTTAACTAGTCATACTTACAACATCTTGATCCATTATATACAAAACCGTCCACACAATTACAAACTGTCCCATTACACTCCGCATAGTCATCTATACACGTGTTAATCACAGTAGTACACGAGTCAGTTACACGAGTGCCAACTTGAAACAAACAATAAGCCATGTTTTATTGTCATGTTTTCTTATTCTTGTGAAATTACATGTATGATGTTTTTTATTCATCATCATCAAAGAAATGTTAAAGCTATTACCATGGTGGAGCAGCCAAGTGGTAAACATGTTAGACCAGTAATCTAAGGATTGCAATCTGGTGGGTATAAACCCTGTCAGGCACAAACCATTGTTTCTTTGAGTTAGAATCTACATTCCTTGCTTAGTACTGGTTGGTTCAAGGAAAGGATTTAAGAGTGTGTCTTTAAGCATACTACACAAACAAACAAAAATAATTTCCACATTAAGATTTTTTTTTTTTGCACTGTTATAGTAATATGGCGACTTACTATCTAAAATGGTGCAGATAGACCTCAGGTGCTCCTCCATGCCTTATTTCAGGTACCAAAAGGCACACAAGTGGAACCTAAGTTCCCTAACCTCACTGGATATGTTCCTCATATTAGAGGATTCAAACCCACAGTGGACCGGGCCCATACTTTCGGAGCCTGAAAGGCCGGCTGCACACTTATTAAACTTAGAACACACACACACAGTGGTGAAAGGCAATTGGTTTAAAGTCAATAAAGTTAAACAGTCAGTCATGGGCGTGACACACACAAAAGGAATAGTATAAATACCTACCACATGTATCGCCAACTTGAACTTGACCTGTTGGACACTCACATCTGTATGTGTTTGGATTACATTGCAGACTGGAGTCACAAGATTCTGTCAATGGATCACACGGGTCACATAGTCCAGGTCCGACTGTATAAACAAGTTATATTTTCTCAACCAAAAATATCAAGTAAAAGGTAATAGAGTACTGAACTAAAAGTCTATGATTTAAGGGGATTACTTTTAATTTTAATCATTGTAAAAATTATAACATGGCATGCTTAGTATGATCTCATCTAAAAGCCCAATATGGCCCAGAAATGGTTTTATTTTTATTTTTCAAATGACTTTTACTGTTTTAGTTCTGGTCTTCTGTTATCATTACCAAAAAGTTACTCATTGGCCAATTACCTGAACCATCCTTTGCTTCTTTTGTTTTCTGGCTACAGTACAATTATAGTATTTTAGTAATTTGTAGGGAAGTCAAAATACTACTTTGTTTAGATTTTGCTTCTATTATGACAAATAAATTCACTTTCAGTGCTACATTCTTCAGGTAAAAAGTTACTTGTATGCTCTAAAACCATTATGTTTACATTATGTAATTCATGTTTGTTCTTTTAAAAGATGAATAAATTTATTCATTGCTGGGGAATAATGTGCTTTTAACCTTTTACCCCATGAGCATATTGTGAAAAACGTCCGTTTTCATTGAAAAGCCTCCTATTTCAAGTTCAAACTGCTATATACTATGAAAATGCTTCAATACTGATGAAACTTGGCACAAATGTTGACTGGACCATAGCCTCTGTAACAGCATGCTCAATCGTAAATTTTCTGTTACCATGGTCACTGGGGGACGTCTCAAAATTGCGAAAAATCACTATTTTGCATTGTTTTTTTCCATCAAAACTGATTTCGAAGTGCTGCAACTTCTCAATGAATTAAGATAGAGTTAAAGGCTTTTTAGTGTCTGTTACTAGTTACCCTAAGATCGACCTGAGGCCATTTTTAGCCTGCCACGTCCAAAATTTTCTTGGCGATGAGGGGGACTACCACCCCCCCTTCAAACCCCCCAAACAGAAGGCAACCCCCTGATGCACCATTTTGACGGGGGCCGCGCCGAAAAAGTGGTCACTTTTTTTTACACATTACTCAAATGAAAAACAGTGTTTGGGGCCTAAATAGGGCATTTTTTTCACTGTTTGAAGCCTCAAAAAGGGGGGGGGGGCAAAAAGCTGTCAAAAGACGTCTATATAAGGGAAAAGGTTAAACTGACTCCACTGATAAATTTTCACAAGGCAAGACTGAAAATAATTTTTTGAAACTAATTTTCCATTTTATGTAGGTTTGGACCAGTAACTTGTGTGCAAATATCAGATCATTTACTCACTCCAATATTTGGGAATAACTATTCTAACTGTGAAAAAAAAGAAAAGCGTTGAAATGTTTTTCACTCAAATCAGGCTTAGACAGCACAAAAATATGATGTTTAATTTATTTCTTGGTCTATTTCTTAAATCTTTTTGCATTACTTTCTTTTATAAGTTCCCCAGTTGATCTATGTAAGAAATTCAAATTTTTTGTTTCAAGTTTTTTGGATTTCACTGGAGTTCCTTTTAAGCCACATGCTTAAAAATTGTTCAGTGTAAAGCAAGCAATTTTACCTTTGTAGTAAGCACTAACCGACCACAGATATTGCATTTTACTTGTAAAAATATACATAAATCTCTTTTACTCTTTTGGTAACAGAAATCTTGAACGCTAGCTTACCACAAATGGTGCCATTGTATACCCAGCCGTCACGACATGTACATACAGTACCATTACATATGGCGTTATCATCAATACACGTGTTGAGAGAGGACGTGCAAGGCTCTGATACAAATCTCCCATCTACAATGAAAATTGCAAGGAATATAACTTATATACTGAAACAAAAAAGAAACATTCTCCAAGTTTGAATGTAGATATGTTAGTACAGTTTTTCAATCCTTTTGAAACTCGATTTTTACGTTGAATAAACATATCAGGCTTTTCTACGGGGATTAGCTGACCGATTTTGCAAACAAAACGAGTTTTACAAGCTACTACATGTATATAAGTGTGTACATCTAAGTGGTACCCTTGAACAACTGGCACATACATGTACTTTGCGAAAGTTTCTTTTTTGGTTCAGTATATATCTGATTACCAGCTGTCAAATGTAATAATTCTAAGGGAGACAATTTCTTTATCAAACTGATTTCCACCTGCCAAATGTAAACAAGGGAGATAACTTTTATATCAGACTGTCTTTTTAGTTGCCAACAGGAAACATTAGGTTAGAGAGACAGCTTAGTCTCAAAATGATTTCTTTAAGCTGTCAAATAAACAGTAACTTGTCAATACATGTAGTTACAAAAGGGACAAATATTATTATGCACCCAATGCACAGCTTGGTTTCTCTATTTTTACATTAAAGATGCCAATTGGCCAATTTCTTTAATATGGTGGCATAGTCATTTTTCATTTATCATCAGTATAATGTATACAGTATAAAGAAAGGGAAAAAAAGGAGAATATTTACAGCATTCATCGTCATACTGTACATGACCTGGCGGGCATTCACATCTGTAGGTGTCAGAGCTACATTGAAGAGGCTGCTCACATGTTGAATCATTCGGATCACATGGCTCACACAGTTGTGTACCCACTGTAAAATTCATATTGTAAATAATTATATTGAATGAATCCATAAACCTCATAGAATATATAATGAGTTATACGAGTTGCTGACTCAATATATAAGACAAAAATACAACCTGAATGAGATAAATATCACCTGCCGGTTATATTTATGTCAGGAAAGTCGAGGGTTATATTTATGTCAGGAAAGTCAAGGGTTATATTTATGTCAGGAAAGTCGAAGGTTATATTTATGTCAGGAAAGTCGAGGGTTATATTTATGTCAGGAAAGTCGAGGGTTTTATTTATGTCAGGAAAGCCTGGGTTATATTTATGTCAGGAAAGCCGAGGGTTATATTTATGTCAGGAAAGTCAAGGGTTATATTTATGTCAGGAAAGCCGAGGGTTATATTAATGTCAGGAAGGCTATATTTACAACTAAGTCCCATCAGTACTTGTATTACAAACTTATAATAAGGCAAATTGTTAATGACGACAAGTTCATAAGAAAACCCAGCAACTTTAGACTGTTTTCAAAGAAGTGCGGAAAAAGATGCATGTAATGAATGGATACACTAACGCTGCGCAATATAAAGTAATTCAAGAATAATGCTGTCATAGCATTGTAACTTTTCACTATATTTACTTTAATGAAGTGATGACATTGCAATCAAGAAATGTGTCATAAAGAACAGAACACAATAAGAACATTTATGCATACAATACACAAAGTTAACCGTCTATGATGTAGAAAAATACATAGTAATTTGTGTGTGCTTCAGTACTTCATGACCTTCTATTGCATAGTATATAAGTGTTTAAGCCAATCAGACTTTAAGAGATTTATTTGCATTATTATAATATATATCATATGTCAAACTTTTGGATAAATTCATACACTCTTCAATCTCCGTAATTATTTGATGCCTATACATGTACACTAAATTTGTATGTTAAGAAAACTGTCTTAACAGTTCGTCTAGCTAAACTGAACAATTGACATCAACATCCAAGTAAAATGCTACTAAAAACACGACTTGATATACACACAAAATATGCAATGATTGAATTTAACTACCTTATAAAGAGCCATTGTAAGTCTGAAATGAAGAAGTTTAAGTTCTCTAACATTGTTTTGTTAACAAAGAAATTTGTTTTTAGCAGTCAACAATTTTCCCGGCATGCAATAAAGAGAGATACAATAAAGAGAATATGAATTACCGCAAAATGTTCCGTTAAAAGTAGACCCAGGTAAACAGTCACATATTGTCCCGTTACATCCAGCGTTATCATCAATACACGTGTTCAAACTTGTCGTGCATGAATCACCAATATGAGTCCCGTCTGAAAGAATATTACAATTAAAATTATACTCCAAATATATAAACTTTAAAGGTTTACACTCTAGATGAGTAGAATAAAATAAGAAACTAGAAATGTGTCCATTGTGAAAAATGTTTAAAATTGAAAAAAACGCTTTTCACTCAAATTGGTTTAAAAAATCACAAAAATACGATTTTCTTAAATATTTTGTATAGTGCCACAGTTGATCTTTATAAGAAAATCAAGTTAATGCTTTTAGGCTTTTGGACCTCAGTAGAGTTCCTTTAATATTGCATTATTAAATAAACATTATACAGCAACACATGAGATACCCGGACACTGTCAAACCCCCGTAACAAATAATCAAACACTTACAGCAATCATCATCATATTGCACTTGACCAGTTGGACATTCACATCTGTATGTAACCGGGTTACATATAAGACCGGTGTCACAGGAATCGGTATTAGGATCACAGTTTGAACACAGGTTTGGACCGACTGAAATGTATACCAACATAGTTTAACATCAATACAAAATTTAGTATGACGGACCCTTATGAAACAGTAAATATGGAGTTGTATTATAATAACACTGAAGTCCATCTTCCCCTCTAGACAGTTGTTGGATATCTATTTTTTGTACATTTTTGTCATGTGACATGTATGTTTTCCAATGTGACATCATTATTTGAGAAAACAATAATATGGTAGCAGGCACGCATGCTCATTAGGTTTATATGTAATCTTTAAGAAAATCTAACAAATCTTGATGATAACTCTAACAGTCGGAACTTGTAATGTTACATAGTTAATGCACAAGAATTTGATAAACAAGAGGGCCATGATGGCCCTGAGTCGCTTACCAGAAACAACTGCTTATCAGTGTTGGAATGTCAATATATTCTATTAAATTTGAGCATAGAATATGTTTAAACAATAATTTGAAGAAATGCCATGACCTGAGGCATTTAAGCTTTAGCTTAAACGGGGCTAATCAAATTAATATGAGCAATCTTGATAAAAGACTACCTTAGAATGCTACTAAGTTTGGTGATCATCTATTAATTATTTCAGTAGGAAATGATATTCGGAGGCTTTTTCTATTTTTAGCTTTAGTGGCCCCTAAAAGGGGCCAATCAAATTAATATAAGCAAACTTGATAAAAGAGTACCCAAGAATGCTACAGACAAAGTTTGGTGATCATCCATTAATTAGTTCTGTAGGAGAAGATGTTTAAACGTATTTCTATTTTTAATTTTAGCGGCCCCTAAAAGGGGCTAATCAAATTAATATGAGCAAAATTAATAAAAGACTACCCAATAATGCTACAGACAAAGTTTGGTAATCATCCATCAATTAGTTCTGTAGCAATACCATCAATTAGTTCTGTAGCAATAGATGTTTAAATGTATATCTACTTTTAATTTAAGCGGCCCCTTAAAGGGGCCAATCAAAATAAAATGAGCAAACTTGATAAAAGACTACCCAACAATGTTTAAGACAAAGTTTGGTGATCATTCATCCATTAGTTCTGTAGAAATAGACATTTACAGGTATTTCTTTTTTTAGCTATAGAGACCCGTAAAAGGGGCTAATCAAAATAATATAAGCAAACTTGATAAAAGACTTCATAAGAATGCTACAGATAAAGTTGGTGATCATCCATCAATAAGTTCTCTAGAAATAGACATTTAAAGGTTTTTCTATTTTTAGCTTTTGCGGCCCCTTAAAGGGGCCAATCAAATTGATATGAGCAAACTTGATAAAACACTTCCCGAGAATGCAACAGACAAAGTTTGGTGATCATCCATCAATTAGTTCTGTAGGAGAAGATGTTTAAAGGTTTTTCTATTTTTAGCCCTAGAGACCCCTAAAAGGGGCCAATCAAAATAATATTAGCAAACTTGATAAAAGACTACCTAAGAATGCTACAGACAAAGTTTGGTGATCATCCATCAATAAGTTCTCTAGAAATAGACATTTAAAGGTATTTCTATTTTTAGCTTTAGCGGCCCCTAAAAGGTGCCAATCAAATTAATATGAGCAAACTTGATTAAACACTACCCAAGAATGCTACAGACAAAGTTTGGTGATCATCCATCAATAAGTTCTGTAGGAGAAGATGTTTAAAGGTTTTTCTATTTTTAGCCCTAGAGACCCCTAAAAGGGGTCAATCAAAATAATATTAGCAAACTTGTTAAAAGACTTCATAAGAATGCTACAGACAAAGTTTGGTGATCATCCATTAATTAGTTCTGTAGAAATAGACGTTTAAAGGTTTTTTTATTTTTAGCTTTAGCAGCCCCTAAAAGGGGCCAATCAAATTCATATTACCAAACTTGATAAAAGACTACCCAAGAATGCTTCAGACAAAGTTTGGTGATCATTCATCCATTGGTTCTGTAGAAGAAGATGTTTAAAGGTTTTTCTATTTTTAGCCCTAGAGACCCCTAAAAGGGCCCAATCAAATTAATATGAGCAAATTTGATAAAAGACTACCCAAGAATGCTACAGACAAAGTTTGGTGATCATCCATCCATTAGTTCTGTAGAAGAAGATGTTTAAAGGTTTTTCTATTTTTAGCTCTGCTGACCCCTAAAAGGGGCCAATTGGAATGATATGAGAAAATTCAAGTGTGACTGTCACAAGGATAATACAGACAAAATTTGAAGTAAATCGGCTTAGTAGTTTCAGAGAAGAAGACGATTGTTGACGCATGACAACAGACGATGGATGCCGCAGCATGCCCCTTTGATACTAATAGCTCACCCTGAGCCTTCGGCTCTGGTGAGCTAAAAAGTATTTTATTTTGAACAGCTGCAAAACTTTACATAGATGCAAGGATTTTATGTCTGAACAAATATATACATGTATTTACACAAACTTATGTTGAGTGTATTGCCACAGTTATCTACCTTTGATGCTAAAATAAGGGGGAAAAACCCAAAGACTGTCAAGATTTTATTAATATTACCACAAATAGTTCCATTCCAAACATGATCGTCATCACAAACACAAACCGTGCCATTACATCCCGCGTTGTCATCAATACACGTGTCATGTGACGACAAGCAGTTTTCTCCAACACGTGTACCATCTATAATAACAAAACAAAAAGAGATCGTGACATTTACATAATTTTGCACGAGTGTGTTCCAGGGGAAACAACCTGGAGTGACATAAATATAAATGAGGACAACACAGCAGGGTGTTTGGAAAAAGCAGCACTTCATTATTCATTCCATTTGACTGATATTTTCTCATAACACAGACAAGCCAAAAAACTTCTCTTTAGGGATATATTTACCCTTATCCAATTTAATACATTTGTATCTTAAATGGATTTGTCCGTCTCTCAATCTGTAGTGGTGGTGCTGGTAGTTTTCACTCCAGATCACTGCAGTAAGTAAACCACAGAAATGGCAAAATAGGTTGTTACATGCATCCATAACCAAACAGTCAAACTCTTGTATATACATGTATATTCTTGGTACTATTTTGAGTTTTTCATATTTACGCTTTTTTATTGACTACATCTATACAGGAAACTTTAGTATTCTAATATTCAAAATACATGAAGTAATACGCTCTTAGCTGAATTTGTATAATAACATCATTTGATTTATAAAATGAGCATAACCATTTTTTTTACTGTAAGTGTACATTTTCACCCCTTTTAGGGTTACCTTACTATCATAAAATCATGTCTGTTGTTTGTTTTACTTTTCACATACTATCTTAATTACCTCTGCTAAAGATAGATTAAAATAAACTTACAGCAGTTGTCACCTATCTGCACTTGTCCAGACGGACATTCACATCTATATGTGGTAGAACTACATACAAGGCCAGTATCACATGATTCTGTCAATGGATCGCATGGGTCACATAAATTTGGTCCAACTGTAAACAAACGTCACAAAAGTTTTTTAATGTAATAAAATATCACTCAAGAAACAAACCAACATAATTTTTGCTCTAGTTGTTTTATTTTATCTATTAAGGAAAGACTTTTGAGCTAACAGTCATTATAATTATTGCCTAACCATAACTGGAACCATATTTTCCAAATTGTGCAGCTTACTTTCGTTTTTTTCATACCTGGGCAACCTTCCAGAAATATAAGAACATCTGTGTCAGCAAACACATTAGTAAATAGTTCCATTGGGCCTACTTTTACAGATTTTTTGACATCCAGTCAAGTTTACCACATTGAGATCCTGACATAGACTTACAACATTGAGATCCAGACAGACTTACCACAATAATATCAGGATATTGACTTACCACAATGAAATCAAGACATAGACTTACCACAATGAAATCCAGACATAGACTTACCACAATGACATCCAGACTAGACTTACCACAATGACATCCAGACACACATACCACAATAAGATCCAGACATAGACTTACCACAATGAAATCCAGACATAGACTTACCACAAATGAAATCCAGACTAGACTTACCACAATGACATCCAGACACACATACCACAATAAGATCCAGACATAGACTTACCACAATGAGATCCAGACATAGACTTACCACAATGGGATCCAGACAAAGACATACCGCAGTGAGATCCAGACACAGACTTACCACAATGAGATTTATACATAGACTTACCACAATGACATCCAGACATCTACTTACCACATTGAGATTCTGACATAGACTTACCACAATGAGATCTAGACATAAACTTACCACAATGAGATCTAGACATAAACTTACCACAATGACATCCAAACACAGACTTACCACACTGACATCCAGACATAGACTTACCACACTGACATCCAGAAATAGACTTACCAGATTGACATTCAGACACAGACTTTAACCACAATGAGATCCAGACATAGACTGACCATAATGTGATTTAGACACAGACTTACCACTATGAGATTCAGACAGATTTACCACAATTTGATCCAGACTTACACTTACAACAATGAGATCCAGACATAGACTTACCACAATGAGATCCAGACATAGACGTTCCACAATGAGATCCAGACACAGACTTACCACAATGAGATCCAGACATGGACTTACCACAATGAGATCCAGACATAGACTTACCACAATGAGATCCAGACATAGACTTACCACATTGAGATCCAGACATAGACTTACCACAATGAACTCCATACATAGACTTACCACAATGAGATCCAGACATAGACGTTCCACAATGAGATTCAGACATAGACTTACCACAATGAACTCCAGACACATACTTACCACAATGAGATTCAGAAACAGACTTACCACAATGAGTTCCGTTCCATACCCAATCCTCTATACAATCACAGACTGTTCCATTACACTCAGCATGGTCATCAATACAAGTGTCCAAGCTAGTCGTACAATCATCACCTACATGTGTCCCATCTAAAATATATCAAAGGAATGTCATAAGCTAAGTATTAGGTTTAATCATTAAACTTACGTCTCTTGTCCATCATCGTCTACACTGACGTTATTAAATATTAGTCAACTTAATAAACATCTAATAAGAATCTTACTCCAGCTACAGATAGAGACAATATAAGATATCTTACTCAAGGGGAACTGTTTAGGAGAAACTTGGCAGAACCTTGTAAGCCCCCCACCACCCACCCAAATAATGAGTTTCCCTTTAACAGTTACACTAGAGCTAATTCCTGTTTGTGTTGGAAGCCATGTTTGATTATTATTCTTCCATATTCATAAAAACTAAATTACATAACTAATATTTTCATTTATTTCACTTTTTTGTTTTTGTAGCATATGAATTTAATTTTCAAATATAATATGGACTAAAAGATTTTTTTCTGAAACATAATACAATATGTAGCGCAAGCTTAATTATCAAAGTTTAATTAAGCACCTCAAACTCCCCATTTAAAGTTAAAAATAACCATTTTCTCCAAGTACATAGAAAAGTTTTCCACAGAAATCCGTAACGTTTTCCAGGAACTCCGTGACAGTTATCATAAGAACTCCAAACAAGTTATCATAAGAACTCCATCCTTCGTGTAACACTTCCTCTCCCGTGCTAATGATATGCATGAAATACTTACATAATTTTTAACCTTATGCCATATATAAATACTTTAAATTCCTTATTTACAACTGTTTAATTGAACCTCTGAAATCCTGTGCAAACGCAAAGTTGAAGTGAACTGTTGACTTGTCAAAGCTTTTAACTGCTTCACCCCTGTCAGTGGGTATTTCTGTTAACGCCACCACTAAACAGTAATGGAACGTCCCTCAGCTCAACGTACCATAGTGTTTGTTCAAAAATCAAACGTCTGTATGATTCAGTTGAAACATTTCTTAGTGATATCGTATGTTGTTGCAATATATATTATAGTTTATTTGCAAACCATTAGATAATAGAACATGTTTTATACAAATACTCACAGCAATTATCCCCAATCTGAACTTCATCATCTGGACATTCACATCTATATGTGCCGGTACTGCATTCAAGGCCATCATCACAAGCCACTGTTAAAGGGTCACAGGGGTCACATAGGTTTCCTCCAACTGTAATATAAATTTGTTACAACATGAAGAAAAACAAAATACGCAGTTATATAATTTGCAAATTATACAATTATTCACGTTAGTTTATAACTACTTTATTTTAGTTTGATTGTGCTGAAAGCAGTGAGTATTAAAGCTTATTGAAACAATCTCAAATCCATTCCTAGAACCAACCACAGTACTAAGAAATAAGTGTCTTTTAAAACTGTCACACTGCAGTGTCTCTGAAAGTTTAATGGTCTTTTAAAACTGTCACAAATATTCTATCAAGCATGGTTATCATGGAAAATCATGCATTTATAGTCTTTTCAAATCTAAAGACTTAGACCGGTTACTTCAAAACTACCATGCAGTATAAAAATATCTAAAAACAAATAACGATTTATGTTCAAATAGGGACTAAAATCTGCAATCTTAATAACAATTCTTACCACATCTGCTACCATTCCATGAATATCCACTTATACAATCACAAACTGTCCCATTACAATCGGCGAAGTCATTTGTACATGTGTCTAGCGTAGTTGTACATGATTCTGTGACCTGAGTACCATCTGTGAGAACAAAAATTAAATTTCTTTATTTGAGCCGCGTCACGACAAAATCAACATAGCGGGTTTGCGACCAGCATGGATCCAGACCAGCCTGCGCCTCTGCGCAGTCCGATCAGGATCCATGCTGTTTGCTTACCAACTCTAGAACACAGATGTGCAGGATGGTCTGGATCCATGCTGGTTGCAAAGCCATTATGTTGGTTTTGTCATGACACAGCTCATATTTTCTTTCCCATTTTGTGTCACATTGACAGTTTATATTCTTAAATGACAAAATATCTAGAAATTTATTTTTTAAAGTTACAAATTGAAAATTTCAAATATATAAACTTACAGCAGGAGTCTCCTATTTGTACATGATCAGTCGGACATTCACATGTGTATGTGTTTGGATTACAGATCAGGTCATCATCACATGTGGTCGTCGCCAGGTCACAGGGGTCACACAGGTTAGTCCCCACTGCAAACAGAAAATAGCACGCAATAATGCAGACCCTATATTATATAAAAGGTAAAAAGCTAAAGAAAAGATGAGAAACAAAGAATAGAATGAGAAAGATTATACAGTATAAAATACCAAAGTATCTAATTTGTAAGGTAAATGTTTGCAAAATTCTTATAACGCCAGTACTGAATGTAAAACATTTCTGCTTAACCCATTTGAATTACCATTAAGTATTTTGCTTGAGAACCTGTCTTTGTTCAGTTTTCATAAAAAAGTTCAAGTGTTCCAAATAACAGAGACATGAACTGCAACAAATTTACTGTATGTGAACATAAGAATATGGAAATGGGGGCTTTCACTTTTTTTTCAATTTTCATAAAAAATTTTTGCCAGCAACATCTTTATATGCTATTTAATCTGATTCTTTGATTGTACATAATAAAATTTGGTTATATAAATGTCTATCACTTATGTACAGTCGAACTTCGTTCGCTCGAACTCGGAGGGCCTGTGAAAATTTGTTTGAGAGATCGGTAGTTCGAGCCAACCAAGGTTGAACTATTATTACGTTGATCAAATGCCTAAAGGTTTTCCTAGCTTACATCTGTCGAATGATAAATGTGTCAATATAATTGTTTGTTAGTACATCAATTATTCTGTTTGTCAAATATTTCACATGTTTCATATTCAGAATAATTATCCCTGTGTTTTATAGTATCAACGGTACACTGTGTTAATCTATATTCATGCATATAGTAATTGGTTGAGTTCGATTGGGCAATCACACCAAACTTGTTGAACAATGTTCAAAATATATTTTTATGTTTATAATGGGATGAATTCAATTAAAAAAAAATAAATGAATGACATATTTATTAAAACATTTACAGCAGCATCTATTTATAGTCATTTACTAAAATAAACACACATACAAGTATCATTCTATAAATAGATAACACTGTTACGATTCACTTTTCATGAACCACGGTTGTAATTAAAACCGTTCGGGTAAAAGTCATTCTTTATTGGCATGCATATTTCACTTATTTCACAAGTCGTTTTCTTTTTATCGTTACTATATACGGCAAATCAACAATATAATCATAACAAACGAATTGCTTATAACACCTCTTATTTTGTATCACCTATGTCACGATCATGAGGTGTTAAAATCATGTGTCGCCGATTGTCATTTATTTCCGACATACTGACTTGTCTTCTTGCGTTCGACCGAAAAGGTGTGATTTTCACTATATTTCTGCCGAAGGGACCAGAAATCAGGTTCGAGAGTCCGATCGATCGGTGTCCTAGCCATCTGAGGTAGAACAATATATATTATATAGGAATTTTCCCGGGACTGGGTTGATGAGTTCGAGCGAAGAGAGGTATTCGAGTGATCCGAGTTCTAGCGAACAAAGTTGAACTGTATTTGTAATCAACAACTTAGGCCGAAGTGTTGTGTTGATTATTAAACATTACTGCATCAGACCTCCAGACTTCATACTATCAAGATTCAAAACAGTAAACAATATTATTTCATCAAATGTCTTTACAATTAGGAAGACATGTTCAAAACTAATAAGAAAGATTATGTGATTTTAAACTTAGTGGATATCAAATTTTTTAAAGAAAATTTGAAAATATGTAGTGACTGAATAGCAATATTTACATCATATAAATATACAAAAATTCATTAGCTGGATTATCCCTGAAATGGTACACAAAATTAAACTTACAGCATACTGATCCATTCCAAGTGTACCCAGTGACACAGTCACACACTGTCCCGTTACAATCAGCGTTACAGTCTATACACGTATCGACGTCACTTGTGCATGGCTCTGTCACACGGGTTCCGTCTATCATATGAAAAAATAACGATCAATAACTAATTGATACAATGTTTGAATTCGAGTTAAATATTCAATAAAATTACATGGATGCACGACCAACTTAAACCTATCAGATGATGATTAAAGTACCTGAAACTTAAATAATTTGTTGGTTTGTTTATTTCATTTTGAATGACGAAATTAACACATTTTTGTCCTATCTCAGTAGTAGGTCCATCTCAGAACAACTTAGACAACTAACCAGTTATTACCAGTATCTCAACAAGTGACTGACTACTTATCCCTCATTAATTCTGAATCAGCCGTAAGGGACAAATGTCTATTTAGGACTCAATGTCCGAGATCATTTGCCACAAAGAACATTTGCCTTGCCCTATGTTTAAACCAACAACCACTGTATTACAAATTTGATGCTCCCCCTATATATCGTGCTAAGCAAGCAGACAGGAAGTTGAATAAAATCACAAGAAATGTATAAATCTATATATAAAATTACCCAAAAATCTATTGAAATAACTATTCCATCTAAATTCAGTTTTACATTTTATCTTTGGAAAAATAAACAGTCTACAAACTTAAGTATCCATAAAAATTTCTTTGTGGCAAAACCACGAAAATTCATGTGAACAAAATTAAGTGAATTCACAGTATCTTTACTTACAGCACTCGTTCCCTATTTGGACACGATCAGCAGGACATTCACATCTGTAAGTGCTCGGGTTACACTCCAGATCAGAATCACATGGATTGGACGAATCACAAGGGGAACATATTGATGTTCCAACTGTTAATGTGAAAATAATAATTGTTAAAAACATTTCCTAATGATTTAAAAATGCAAATTTTATTAAAAAAATTGCTTTACAAAGCATAAAATTTTTAACAAGTTGAAAGAAATCATTTTTAATTAAATTATTGCAGTGCTAACAATATATTCTTACTATCACATTTATTGGGTTTTAAGTTGCAAACCACTGTAAAGTGCAAATGCTGACTTTCCAGCTTTACTGTGGGGAAAGGCCTCATGTTGCCCTTCCATGCATTATTTCAGGTATGAATGGGCGCCTGAGTTACCACTGAAGCTTCTTAAGCAAACTGGAAAGCTTCCTCACCCAACAGATTCCAAAGTCCCTGGTAGGATTCAAACCTACAGTGGTGAGGGGCGAGTGGTTTGAAGTAAAAAAATTTAATGTTACCAAATGTAATAGTTACCGACTGTAAATCTACATGAACAATTGAAAATCACATTGTACTTACCACAGATAGTTCCATTCCAAAAATAACCATCGTTACAATCACAGACTGTGCCGTTACAACCCGCATTATCATCTATACACGTGTCAAGTGACGCCAAACAAGATTCTCCAACACGTGTACCGTCTATACGAGTAGAAACATGAAAAGCAATTATAGAATCATCAAATTATGACATTTCAACCTTGACCCACCTGAATTTTGTAGAATGGACTTATGTTTTGAATTTGGATCTCTCCATTACTAATGTAAGGGGTTTTGATAATAATTTTCATTTCAACCTTAAGCTTCATAAATTTGTACAATGGACTTATCTTTTGAATTAGGAATGGTCCATTGCTTTCTTTTATAGGGTTTGTAATAAAGTTGTTAAAAATTCATAATGCAGCCTGTCAGTTTAGCATTAGGTCAGATTGCATAAATGAGAAGCACCATGACAAAACCAGCATAGTGCGTTTGCAACAAGCATGGATCCAGACCAGCCTGCACATCTGTGCAGTCTGATCAGGATCGATACTGTTCCCTTACAAACCCTTTTACAAGAAGAGAAACTGATAATGAACAGCATGGATCCTGATCAGATTGCATGGATGTGCAGGCTGGTCTGGATCCATGCTGATCACAAAGCACTACGTTGATTTTGTCATGGCGCAGCTCAAAAGTGTAAAATTTGTCATCTAACTATATAATGTAAAAGGGGTCAAAACCACCTCACCTGCTGGAGCTAAGAAATGCAAAGACTCCTGTTATTCAAACCCAATTAGTTGTTATGATCAAGCAGGAATAAAAGGTGGCTGCAATTCTTATGTCTCAAACATTTAAGGCAACCCCTCAGGCACAAGGGGGTTCTCCATTAAATAGGTATTAACAGAAGACATAAATCAAATTTAAATGGACTCAAAAGGATGCATAATATAACTGATTATATTATGTTTTGACTTATTACTGTATTAGTAGTTAAGTTAGCCTCATGCAAAAATACTGGCGAATTTCATGAATTGACGAAATTTTAAATTCGCTAACTTTACAACAGGCGGAAATATTAACTTAAACAGTACTAGTAACTGAAGTCTTTCTTATAGAATTTATCAAACAAATATGCATCTTTTACAAAATAGTTTTACTTGTATTTCACTGTCAGCATCTGGTACAAAAATAGTGTTACTCATATGCTACTGTCAGCATCTACTACAAATATTTTTTTACTTGTATTTCACTGGCACAGTATATAAAATCATACTTACAGCAATTGTCTCCGATCTGAACAAAGCCAGGTGGACATTCACATCTATACGTGTCCGAGCTGCATACAAGTGGATCATCGCAAAATGAACTTGAAGGGTCACACGGGTCACATAAATTCTCACCACCTGTTATATGTATAAGTTTTTCGTTAATACATTAAGGAAGAGAGCTTTCTTATACAAAATAATTCAGAGTTTTTCAAACAAACAGTAATGATGTTTACGTGATTCTAAGACAACTCGGCTAATGGTCCACATAAATTATGCACACACAAAATGCAACATGGCAAATCTGAAGTTAGTGATTTAGCATTTAGAACTTTCTCAAAAGTTGTCCATTGATTATATATAATGCCAGACGTAGTATGATCACATAAATAAATGCTTAGGTGTCCAATAACTAGGATAAATAATTGAACTTCAATGTCAAAAAATTTTCATTTAGCTCACAGTTTCTGTTGAATGTAAAAAAACTCAGGTTCAAATTAAGTGCAAGCCTCTCTTAAATCAAAGTTAAATAATTAGAGTGAGACAAAAAAGTGTTGGAGCACCAGACTAAATGTTGTATTCCGGTATATACTGGACCTTGATTGATCAAATGCTAAAACCTCACCTTTTTAACCACTGAAATGCACTTCAGATGCCTAATTCATCATTCTGCTGACACAGATTTTCATATGAATGAAAAATGTAAAAATCAGCGTAAAAAGGGATATTTTTCTACTTTATGATCATGATTTCTGCAAGCATCTAGAGGTACTCTGCTCCAACACTGTAGTAAGTTAAATCCAAATAATTAATGTATTATTTAAGGGTTTACCACAGTGAGTCCCGTTCCAATGAAAGCCTTCTTCACAATCGCAAATCGTACCGTTGCAGACGGCATTGTCGTCAATACATGTGTCCAAACTTGTTGTACAGTCCTCGCCTACTAGCCTTCCATCTTAAATAATAACAAACCGTCTTCATTTTTTTTTTTTTTTTTGTAAACACAATATATTTGCAGTTAATCCGTAAAAAGATAATATGATATCTGCATAAAGCCAACAAGTGAGAATAGTAAATAAAATATCGCTATCCTCTTAAAACCTTACCACACTAAATATTTAAATGGGACTTTTCCATATTTCACTCTGGACAAAACATTCATCCGTTTAGGGAAAACTTGAAAATAAGTCCTGACCGAATAGGAAACAGTGCAGACCACAATCAGACGGCGTGAATGTACAAGCTGATCTTCATCTGCACTGGTTGCATTGGACCAATTTGTTGCCACTAGCAGGCTATGAATTAATCTTTGCGCTTCCAAATTTGACACTTTGTAATGCCTCCATTTTCCTCTTATTTTGATTACATGGCTTATTTTTTTTTTTTATCCCATAACGTGAGACGCTAAATCATGGTCGTTGTACGGACTAGACAGGGAGTCACTACATGCAGACCATTTATATAGTAAATACTGTTCGGTGCACCTAACTATGGTCGCTATTATACAGGGGGTCACTAAGACAGTCTTTCCTGTACTTCCCAAATTTGTAAAATTGACTTGCCTAGCTGTGAATTTGGACCTATACATTTGAAATTGAGGGGGGTTTTAATATTAAAATGTTGAATTAAGCGGACGGCATTTAACAGAGCCTGATCACGCTACACAGATATACAAACCACCCTGAATCTTTACTAAAGACAGTCTCCTTATCCACACTGGCAGTTAAAAGGTTATAGATATTGTTTCAAGTATCACCTACAATATTTTTTAATCTTTTCCTCTTTTTTTCAATCACTGAAGGTATTTGTGATAAAAAAGTTTATGAAAACTTACAGCACGAATCTCCAATTTGCACTTGGTTTGTGGGACATTCACATCTGTATGTGTCACTATTGCATACTAGATCCACGTTGCAAGTATTTGCTGTCGGGTCACATGGGTCACATAAATCAGTGCCAACTACAAAGTAAGAGCAAAACAGTGCCTGAAGCAAATACTATCCACAGAAAATGTTCAAAGTGTCAAAACAACATGCAAAAAAGCCTTATAATCAAACCTTTGTAAAAACGTTACAGCATTGGTGTGGATATACTATGCAAATGAGCCAAATCATGTATTTTTCCAAAAGTGTAGCTATTTCAAACTGATATCTCTTTTTTTCTTTATTATTCAGGGTATGTGATGTGAATTAGTAAATACATATATATCCTGTACAGAATTTATTGAACAAGCTGAATTGTATTTAATCAAATGAAGCAAGTTTCATACAATTTTATTCAACAAGTTCAATAAATCTGAACTTGGACAATAAATATATTTGAAACTTAGTACACTCATTTAATACCCATCTTAATTAACATCATATTTCAGTAACCATTAAATGTAAAAAAAACTTACGACAAACTGATCCATTAAAAGTGAACCCATCAACACAATCACACACTGTGCCATTGCATTCTGCATTATCATCAATACAGGTGTCAGTGGCCGTTGTACATCTTTCAGTCACCAGTCTCCCATCTTAAAATTTACCAGATAAATTAGTTATAACAATACTCTAAGAGTAAAGGCTAAGATGACAAGAATTTGTTCACCCCTTGTTCTGCTTCATATGCAAAATGGACTCACCCAAATTTGATTTCAGTTGGAACAGTCCATTTTGAGGTCATGAGGTCATGGGAATTTTGTATCAGAATAATTAAAGTGAGCAGTCAACAAAATAGATCTTGATCGAATTCATAGGTCATCATCATTGCCATCTTTGCCGTCATCATCATCAACGTTATCATTATCATCATCATATTTGGCATCATCATCATATTTGCCACCACCATCATCATCATTAACATTGTTGTCATTATCATTTTCATCATCATTGCCATCATCATCATTGTCATCATCATCACCATTGCTATCATCATCATTGTCAGCATCATTGCTATCATCATCATTGTCATCATCATCATCATCATCATCAGCTTCTTCTTCAGCATCATCATCAATACCATCATCATCATTATCATCATCATCAAAGTCATCATCATCATCTTCTTCTTTTCCTTTTTCTTCTTCAATATCATCATCATCATTATTATCATCTTTTTCTTCTTCAATATCATCATCAATATCATCATCTTATCAATATTATCATCATTGTCATAATTGCTTTTGTTGTCATCATCATCTTTCATTGCCAATGTCTTTTTCACAACATCATTATCATATAAATGATGATTTATATGTTTATTAAAATATGAAACACTAAAAACCAATTAAAAAAAAAGGGAAACTTTTGAAAGGATAAAGAAACATTATTAAAACTAAAAAACCCCAAATCAACATTTTAATAAAAACGGGCATTCATCAAAATCTGTACCTCCCATTTGGGACATTCACCATGGGTTTTTATGGGGGGTTACGGGACTACTGAAGTCGCAGGGTGGAAGAGAGCATCACATGGGTCACATAGATTCTGTCCATCTAAAAATATAGCGAAAAAACGCTTAGTGGCTGACTTAAAATCAAAATAATAACAACATAATTAAAAGGTTTTATTTTGAAATTTTGGGGTATATTTTATTTTTCCCATAGTCAGTGTTGCATTTTTTATGGGTGTTTTGTTTTTTTTTTTTTTAAATGCAAATTAAAATTTTTAAATTTTTAGAAAAGGGAACGACAAAATTAATTTAAAATTTTTGTTTCAAATAAAAGGGTTTTGGTTAAAAAATTTCCCTTTTTAAAAATTCAAAATAAATAAAAAACTTTGTAGTTTAGGTATACTAAACCCGGGAAAGGGAAAAATAAATACATTTTATATAATTAAAACATACAAATCTAGCCTAACAAATACTTTACGCATCTCAATAACAGAAATTGCTTTGACAAAAAATTTATATTGGCAATTTATCTGTATATTCTTATTTCTAAAAGTTAATTTATGTCAAAGCTGATGTTCACTTACTACAGTGTGTGCCATTCCACACATATGTCTCCTTGCAATCACACACTGTGCCATTACACACTGCATAGTCATCTATACACGTGTTCAGTGATGTCGTGCATGATTCACCAACACGTGTTCCATCTATAAATAGATTAGTCAGATAAATTTCAAGACATTATCATATCAGGTACCCTATCTGATTTGTATATTTACCTATCTTATTTGTATATTTCTGAAACAAATTTGCTGCAAAAGAAAATTTAAATTTTCTGATAAAAATTGTTTACTTTTTTGAAACAGAACAAAATCTGGGGAATTTTTTCCTTAAATTTTTTTTAAATATTTGGGGGGTGCCATAGGAAATATTTTCATTTAATTTTATTGGGAAAAACCCAGGTAAGAAAAGTGTTACTACTAAAACCCCTGTCTAAAATTTAAAAAAATAGGGGTTGTGGGGTGTTTAAAAAAAAAAGAAAAATTTACATTTATCTGGGGTTTTTTCACATGTAAAATTTTAAAATTTTACTTTAACGGGCGTCCCCATTTTTTGACCAAAAGGGCATTCACCCCTTAAGTGGGAACTACAAGAAAGACCCTGAAAAAAGTTAAATGGGAAAGGGGATCACAGGGGTCCACAAATTCCCCCCCCGACGGCGAAAAAAAATTTTATATTTCTATTAAATTTTTCTTTAAAAGAAAAAAAATTTTCCAATCTTTTATAAATTGTTCAATAATGTTTTTTTTAAAGCTATCAGTTTTTTGTAAAAAAAGGGGTCAAGTTCGATCAAAAAAAATTAAAATTACTGGTGGGGGAAGTGTTTTTAAATTTTTCCCAAAAATCTTCAAGCAAAAACATATTACAAAAGTACAATTTCCTGATAAAAATGCATGAACAGATTTTAAAAAAGGCTGAAACCCTTTAAAGGGTGGGTTTCATGTCAAAAGGGACCTGGGGACAATTTTAAAATTTTGCCCTTTAAAAACCCATTTGACAAAGGCTTACCGGAAAACCAGTTTTAAACCCCAAAAAGTATCTTTTAAAAAAAAACCCGGGGCCAAATTTTGGTAACTTTTTTTTAACATGCAAAAGTTTTATTTTAATTTTTAAATACAAAAAGAAATTTTTAGAAATTTCTTGCCTTAAAAGACTAATAAGACTTCTTGAAACTTTTTAAAAAAAAAATTTTCCATTTTGTAAAATTGAAAATTGAATTAAAAAGCATTTTAATTTAATTTAGGGGTTTTTTTACAAGAAGAACTTTTTCAAATTTGGGTGCCCTTGTTTTATTTTGTTTTCCGTTAAACTTCATAAATTTTTTTTTAAAATTCTTTTTTACAAATTTTAACCTAAAAGAACAATTTCCTCTTTCCCTTTACTTTCATTTTTAAAGAAAAAATTTTCCTGTACTTTTTTTTTATAGTAAAAAACATTAATTTTTACTTTTTATGATAAGCTATCCAAAAAAATTTTATTTCAGAATGGTAGTAAGAACTATTTTCTTAAATAGTTAGAACTGTCCTTTACATTTTATTTTAGAATGACCAATGAGATTCATCAATTTCAGTTTGTAATTTCAAAATGACAAGTGATAATTCTTTTTATAGTCAGTCCTTCTTTATTAATTTTACAGGAAATCAAACTGATAACAGACTGACTTTGTCCGAAAAATAGTAAGTACATTCTGTCCCTTGTTACATGTACATACTTAATGTTACTATGCCAACCAATAGATAGGGTTTATTTTCATTAGACCTTTAAACGAGTTATGTCTGGAAAAGATTTTACATTTGACAAAAATTATTGCTCTCAGTTTAAATAAATGGTAATACAGTAAAACCTCTGTATAACCACCCTCTGTAGAACAATCACATCTTCACAACAACCAGTGCCATGTTTTTTCCCAAATTTACACTTCACAATAAATATAACCTCTCTAGAGCAGACACCTCTCAGTAACAACCAAAATCTTTAGTCTCCCAAAGGGTGGTTGTTCTACACAGGTGTTACGAAAATTACATTTTGGTTTCAACAAAATACAGGGTTTTTTTCCTGCACGGGTTTTTACTGTAAAACGGGTTTGTAAACAAAATACAGGTGGGGGGGTTCTCTACACAGGTTGACTTTAAAAAAACCCTTTTGGTTAACTAATAAGTCAAATTTGAAAAGTACAACAAGATTAAACTAAATTTTTTTAAACCAAAAATGAGTTTCCTTTCCAAGAGAGCCTGCAATACATCCCAAAAGGGGTCCCTTTTAAAATTTTTCCCTTAATAAAATCTAACGGGGATCTAACAAGGGTTTTTACTTCCTTCTTTTCCCAAATTTCTCCCACTGAAAAAAACCCAAGAAAAAATTTTCTAAATTCCAAAATTACATTTTCCCATTTTGATGCCCCAAAAATTAAAAAATTCACCCGGGTATTTTTCTTCGGTAAGAAGAAAATCAACTTTCTCAAAAAACCTTTTACTTAACCTTTCCCGGTTTCCAAAGAGGTTATGAAATTTAAATTATCACCTTTTTGCCGGGTTTTTCAAAAGAAATACTATTTTATTAATTAATTTTAAATTCAAATCTCCCATTAATATTTATTGTTGGGGTATAATAAAGACTGTTAGCGACCCTTTAATACGACTTTCGGGTCATAAGGGACCAAGTTAGGTGCGCCAAACAGTATTTACTATAAAAATGGTCTGTATTAGCGACCCTTTTTTTCCGACAACGACCTTTGTTTTATTCACCCTTTAACCGGAAATTTGACCGTGAGCGGGCGACTTTTGAAAGGGGAGCATGGTTTGGCTAGGGACGATTTGGCGAAGAAGCCCGCCTTCGGACAGCGATTTGTTCGCCCGTTTTAAATTTTCCGTCATACTTTTTACCCGCTATTTTCTTTTAAAAATTTTGTTTACCTCTCAATTAAAACCCAAATTTCCCTTTTTAACCCGCAAATTTAAAGAACGCGTGTCAACATCAACAAATTAAAATACACCCCCGCCAAGAAGATTTCCCACTATTTAAACTTTCTCTTTGCTATCAGGGGGCGTTTTGACGAATCAAACGCGCTTTTGATCTACGAAATTTGAAATTGCCCAATTGGCGAAAACCCCTTAACACTGGGGCTGTTTTTTAAAATTTTACACAAAATGGCGCAAATTAATCATTTTCCCCGATAAAAAAATTAAAAGACCCCATATACACAAATTGCTGGGTTTTTTGGCGATAAAAATAAACAAGGGAAAACCCTTTTAAAAGGGTGGTTATTTTAAAAACCTCGTTTGTTAAATTTCTTTTTCCGGAAGAAACGTATCTGTAAAAAAAATGGGGAATTTGTATCTAATTTTTTTTAATCCCATTAAACTCCTTTAAAGTAAACTTTTTTGTTTATAAAAAATTAAATGTCCTACAGAAAAAATCTCATTATAAAATTTGAAATTAAACATTTTTTTTACAAAAGATTTATCAATAAAATTACTTTTTAATAATAAAAATTTTTAAATACTAATTTTAGGTGAGTTTAAATTTTAACCCAAATTATACAAAAATTTTAATTTAAACCCTTAAAATGGAACTATCCTGCTTTTCAAAAAAAATTTTGGGTATTTATGTCATTATATCCAAAATTATATAGAACTGTCCCAGTGACCCCTTCATAATCCCTTTTTCCCTTTTCTCCCACAAAGGGGTCACTGTAAACATTTTATTTAAATTATTATTATTTATTAGATTTTTATTATTTTAAAATTATATTTTTATAATTTATTATTTTTATTAAAAACGACAAAAGTCCAATGGCAAATGCCTAAAAAATAGGGAGACATTGCTGTCCCTAGGGCATGAAAGGTTAAAAACCCTCATAAATCAAAATGTTGCCCTTTCTAAAGAAGTAAAAATTGATTTGTTTCTGAGGCATAATGTGCCTTAATACAAAATTTATTTTAGTTTGATTGTATGGGTAGCTATAAGCTTATAGACACACTCTCGCTCAGATCTGTATCTGGCTGTTTATCAATAAATTATCAAAACTTACAACACAAATCCCCAATCTGTACAAAGCCTGTAGGACATTCACATCTGTACCTATCTGAACTGCAAACAAGCGTGTTCGAGCATGTAGAAGAGGCAGGGTCACATGGATCGCAGAGTTGTTCACCAACTGTATAAAAAGTAAAGTTTTAACATGACAGCACAATTCGTTCAATAATGTGTTGCAGATCATGTTTTTTAATTATTTCCTTGTTTAAAAAGATATCACTTTAATGTGCAGATATATAAATTATTAATATACGCACATTATAAGGCTTCAAGAAAGTGGTTGAGTCAGATGCCAATCTGTATTATTACAGGCTTAAGTTTTGTTTTGTTTTTTTCTGAGAAAATGGCTTAAGATTAAATTGGATTGGTCTACAATTGGTACATTGTCCACAAATATTTTAAATCTTGAT